AAGTCCATTAACACATCTATGATGAAGTTGAATAGAAATGGAGATAATGGGCATCCTTGACCGACACCACTGGTCGTCACCGGTTCAGATGACAGCTCGCCGTAAGCCCTCACCTGGCTGTATGAGTAGGAGTAGAGTGCCTTCATCAGTGCAATATATTTTCTCGGAATTCCGTTTACAGCCAAGCATCGCCAGAGAACTTCTCGATCGACAGAGTCGAATGCTGCCTTTAGGTCAAGAAATATAATGACTGTTGGACGCCGGTAGGAATGCCTATGTTCTAGAATCTGTCGGAGGGTGAAGATATGATCAATACACCCTCTTCCTGGTCTAAAGCCTGCCTGGCTCCCTCGTGTTTGTGCTACTGAGACACACCAAACAAGAGGGCATGGCTAGGGATTTCACTCAACGGTCTCCTCAGTGTTTCCAACTCATCCTGATTTCCTTCAATATATATGTTAGATGGAAGGTTTTTGATTGTCTCATTGCTTGTCAGGGTTCTTCGTTTGTTAATCCTTTCCGAACATCCATCTGATCTTCACTACGAAGCTAGCGAAGGCAGCTGTTGACATAATTCCGTGATAGCCTGCTGGAAATGCTTTTCATGATACATCAAGACTTTGACCCATATAAAAGCAATAGTTTGAAGGAATTTGATTGATTGGTCACAGGATTTCCCTTCTGAGATATGGACTCGCGGCGAGCCAACTAATATGGTGACTACATTGCAAACATGACTCATAGATTTCAGTCTGCACCAAAAAAAACGACTAGACGCATGACACCAATTAACTAGTGTCCAATCAAACTATCCAATAGTGTTACGGGAGGTCAATAGCGAGCCCGAATAGTTCAGTGGTCTCTGACAGCAGCACTGGGAGACAAGGTGTTTGTAGATACACATTGCTGACTAGTGAGTGCCAACTATCACGAAACCTACTTCCAGAGTTTCCTGACGATTTTCTCGAACCAACTGATTTCAATACATGAAGCATTTAACTCAAATGCAGAAGAGTACAATTCATTATTTCAGTTAAATTGCGTCTCCCATTAATCAATTGTGTTAGATCGAAATGTCTAGCCTCCGAGTATGGACGCATTGATGATGTCTGTAGATTAACATGATGATACGTCGGTGGAGTCCGAAACGCCCACTTCATCCTACTTGGGGCTCACCACCAGCACGTACCTGCGCTCCCCCCCCCCAGTTACTGCCAGTATTCTCACTGAGACTTAAACCATGCACTGATTGTTTCAAATGCCAGGGTGTAATCCACTGGGCCACGAAAGTCACCTCTTGTGAAACGGGTACTAAATATTATTATTTCAGCCGGTTCATCAACATTTCTGTCCAGTATAGTCAGTCAAAAGTGGATTAACTGAAATCAACATCCAGATGATGGTTTTGATTAGACACCAGTAACTAGTGTGATCTGTCTAGTCCTTTGTTTGGTGCAGACTGAATTCTATCAGTCAGTCAGATTTGTAATGTGGCCAACATTCCAGGTATCTCACCGTCACTGTGCACATTGATTTGATGATATTAGATGGTTGGAGGCAATCGGCAGAAAGCCATGCCTGAACACAAGTTTCGTGCTAGTTGACACTCATCAGCAAGGCGTATCTGTAAGCTTGAAGGAACTCATGTCCCTTCTGATATTGGAACCCGCGTCACTCAGTGCTGCCTGTAGTCAGAGACGTTACCACTGAGCTAGCTATTCGGGCTAGCGATTGACCTCCTGTAGGACTATAGTGGATATTTTGATTGGACACTAGTAACTAGTGTGATGCGTCTAGTTCTTTCTTTCTTCCTTTCGTTTAGTCCTTCAAGGTTTGCAGATACGCCTTGCTGATGAGTGCCAACTATCACGAAACCTAGGTCCAAGGCTTCCTATGACCAACTGCCTTCAACCATCTAATATCATCCAGATGATGAGTCCCGAATTTAGGACGAAATTTACTACTAGTTACCATCAACAAAAAGAAACTATAAGTCAATTCGATAGCATATATTATTGACTGATACAAGTATAGTTGAAAACCACTCATATCCTTTAGTATCGCTAGCTAATAAACCAATTCTTTTCCCAATCTCCCAAATATAAATTCAACAGTGTTCATTTCATTATATCTTTATGATCATTTTAATAAGTAATCAATATATACTAGCTACTTTCAATGATACCTAGTTATATGCAATACATTTTCATTTTTCAAACAATCTTAAAAGGTCATTAGGTCATATGAGTATAATAGTCATGATCATACATACTATTAATGAAGAGAATTAAAACAATATTTTTCTGTTCTAATAATATTGATAAATAATGAAATATCACGTAAAACAGTTAAAATGAATAGTAGATGGAGCACTGAAAGAAAGATGCTTTACTGAAGCAATAATTGTATACAGATTTTACGGTTTCGTAGGGATTATGACTATGTTTCATTGGTGCGATGGCGCCAACAATGCATTTGGTCCAGAGTTCGACTGCTGACCAGTGCATTCTGTAGGTCTCTCTAATATTAGGCCTAGAAAGTAGGATAGGTTGGCCCTGAGATTAGTACTCCCATTGCTGCTAAAAACAGTACTACCACGGCTATGGAAACTTGATAGCTTGAAGCCATATGCTCCATTCGGAATGCGATGTAAATGTCATGAAAATGGGGACTTCATCATGAACTGACATCGAACAGAAAAATAATAATAATAATTTTTCCTTCAGGTTCCCAGTGGAATATACGGCTCAAGCTAGTGGCTTGAAGTTTCTGTAGCAGTGTTTATTTTACAGGATCGGGTTGCTAGTCTTGTGCCCAACCTTTCCTCTTTACCAGCATTATTTCTGGCTTAGCGAGGTAAAGGAGTGAGTCGGTGGCCGGGGATCGAACCCCGGACCATGTACATGGTCGGCGAGCGTCCTATAGAGAATCATTGAATACCAAGAAACACCTAGACAGGTTCTTCATCCTGGTTTTTGACTCCTCATTAGCATGACTCCACTAGGGAGGGAATCCAAGACTTTCAGATTACGAAGCCAGCCCGTTATCTGATCACCCTATGACTTAATGCATTCTAAATCTTGTCAGTTCATGTGATGCAAAGGCACGGATAACCATATCCCATCAGTAAGCATCCGCTTCTCACTTGGACTGGTGGACTCCAAATAACACCTTCTTTTTAGCACCTCAGGATATGCATCCAGTATCCACTAATGAACCGGAGATTGATAATTCAGACTTTGGATTTAATAGGGATTGTGACTGATGTTAATGTAAACTTCGTCTATGGTGTCAGGTTGGAGCGGATGCTCATCCATTGATTTGGTTAGTGTTGGCGGGAAGTGCACAGCACAAATCAATGGAAGTTATAATTCACAGCTTCTTGCATAAAAACCCAGTGGGTAAATACGCAGTTTGATTGCTATTTGAGTCATAGGTGAATACCACTGAGAAATCTCAGACTAGGACAAAACAGTCGTGGAATGCTCGAGAAGAAGTACTCCTGATCCTTTGTCAGGTTTTGTAATTATCAATCTTCTGATAGAAGTCACCGTATTAAAAAAAGATGAACGATACATTGAAAGACACATAAGTTTCAAAAACTTAAGGAGAAGAAAGATTTCACTAACAAAATAGAAAATGAATCAACCAGACGTTTGAAGACATTGAGGGAGGTGCAGATATTTTCTGGAAGTTTATATGAGGAAATCAAGCATATACACGCCAGGATGGTATGGCCTACCTAAAGTACATAAACCGGGAGAGCCCCGTAAAGAACGATACTTTGTATGCGAAATTCGCCTTACCATGCTCTAGCTAGATGGTCAGTGAATATTCTCAAACCTTTGCATAAGCAGATAGTGAAATATAGAGTCAAAGATGTATTTGAATTTGTGGACAAAATCAAACATATTAATATCAAGGATAAAAGTATGATATCTGTGGACATAACATCTTTATTCACAAATGTACCTCTGGTTGAAACAGTTAACTACATATGTGAACAAGTGTATAACCGGTCGATAAATATTGGTATCCCAATGAAAATCCTAAAAGAATTGTTATTAAGGTATACCATGAATGTGAATTTCCATTTTAATGGCACATTTCACAGATAAGTGGACGGCAAATAAAAATAGTGTTTTATTGGATATGATAAATCACAAGAAGAGGATGCATCTGTGCCAGACATTGAGAACGATTTTTAGCCATATCATCAACCAACTGTCTCCAGTGTTCATTGGTTTTTACCGTCCCCTAAGGACCCCAAACAGGAAACCAGTCTACACCTTCCTACATTACTGGCTTACACTAACTGTTGTAGATTTCATTGACTGATGAAGCCATGTTTTGGTTTGACCACCACTAGCTAACTCTTTTCCAACCTGATCCATCCAATGTCAGCTGACATTACCTATTGTCGAGGAAGGCGACGGCTAGACATGCATATGTAACACATGTCCTAACCATCTCAATCCATGTAACTTCACAGCCTCGTCTATTGACTCCCCCTCCCAACTACCTAGCACTCGACTGAAACCTAACGTAAATATTGCTCACCTTATTATACCATTTCACACGGGAGATAGAAAGCAGGCACCTATGATCAAAGACAGCTAGCGAGCCTTTTTCGATGTCTTCTACTCTCACAACCATAAAGGAGGATGGAGCGAACTGCTGAGCAGTACACACACCTTTTGGTCGACAACCAGCCGGATATCACATCTACGCTCGGTTAATTTCAGTCAATTATATTACCCAAACGTAGTGTAAATAATTCTTAGTTACAGATACTTTACCATCATTTGGTTTACATCAATTGGCCGTTCTTTTTTCCTCATTCAACGGATTAAACAAATAAATGCGTATACACGCACGTGATCAGACTGTTGTTCGAAATGGTATTGAGCAAATACATCACGCCACATTTACTCAGATAAACTTTGTCTTTTAATAACGCCATTATTACTCCAAGCTTGCTCAAAAGAGACTAATTGTTTGAAATAATATTATTTTCTAAAAATCATGAGTAAAAAATCAAACCAACACAAACACATACATACAAGACAATACAATAGAATGAAAGTTTTGAGAAGTCAAGAAAAAACAAATTCTCACTCACTCTGCAACCAACACACAACAACATGTAATATATATATAAACTAGAATCGGATCAGATATAATTAAACAATAATATTAATCAGTATAAGACAGAGAAAAGCAAAAGAATATATCACTAAGAGGATAGATTGAGAAAAAAATACCTTTCTATACAATCTACCCTCTACTATAATCCCGTTTTCATAATCCAATATTCCTATATCATACATAGATACATGTATGTGTATATATACATATGCACACCATGCTTCCAAACAGAGAAGCCTTTCAGATCAATTTACAGCAAAAGAGATTGAGAAAGAAGACAAGGTGGACAGCGAAATCAATGATAATAATAACTATAATAATAATAATATTAATAAATAATAAAAGTGATTACGTAACAGTAGTATTTCTAAAGGTTAGTTTGTAGGAAAATCAATCCAGTGAAGAAAAAAAAACCCAACAAGGTTAGTGTATTGTGGACAGATATATTATCTTGCATCCTTGTTTGGAAATGACTCTTCAAATGACTCTTCCATAGCTGAACAACTTGGTTTCACTTTTTCTCTGACAGTAGAGTTATGCGTGTGTAGTGTTGAAGAGTCAGTCATCGCCAAACACGGGACGAAACAGTGGTTCTCACAACAATTTGCTAGTCTTCGCTAATTGATGTCAACTCATGATTCAATTTAAAATAAAAAGCATATTAGTAGGGAAAAAAACAAATAAGGTGTAAATTAAAGTAAAAAGAAAACACAATGGTACACATTATGGAACAAAAAAACCCGGTGGGAGGGGAGCGAATGTTGTACGTTAATTTGTATACATATTCTGTTTGCCGGGGGGGAGGGGGGATTAAAAATAAGTAGTAGTAATAATAATAAAGAGATATTATAATTAAGCCCAGAGATAGATAGATGGATGGATTAAAATCGACATAGATGGATGGGTGGATGGATGCTTGAATGCTGGATAGATGGATGGATAGAATGGGACTAGACTTGATTAAAACACTACAGGACTAGGTAGTATTAGTAGGTTTGAAGAGTGACAAGCAAATAAAAATCTAAAATGCAACAGAAAAATAAAACAATTATATGTGGTCTGATTTTCATCCTCGTGTTTAGAGCTTCAAAAAATAATAATCCACAAAAGGGTAGTCAATATCGATCATGATAATAATAATAATAAAAACACTATGGACTCCTAAAATATATATATATATATATATCCATATAAGACAGAGATATTATTTCATACAAGATAACTTGAACAGAAATTGCAACAGATGCAAGCAAGAGTCATCAAAGATGATAGTTACAAGTTAGAGAATGAAGTTGAGATGAAACATACAGAAACTGTCTGTTTCCTGGGCTATTTATCTTTTTTTGTTAGGCAAGACAAGAGACGACAAGACAAGACAAACAGACAGACAGACAGACAAAGAAACAAAATATTTATTTATACTTTGTTTTTCTGGAAAATTCATCACCTAGTTTCTGGGAGACAATCCAGTGTAGTACCAAAATATCGATCACCGAAATTTCCAACACCCGGTATAATATGATAACTTTCATTTAGACCAGGATCAACAGCTGTAGTAACAATATGTGCCTGAAAGTGGAAACAGAGAAAATATATTTAAAAAAGTGTTTAAAGAGAACCAAAGTGTAAGGAAATAGGAGACATGTAGTCATGTTTTCTTACTTACAGGACTGAACACCAGCAGACATTAGTTAAAGAACCAATGGAAAACCAACTGGGAATACTAGAGACAGTTGTTTCGTCAGCCTATTTCGGGACTCTTCATCAGTACGCATCCACTGGAGAATGATGATCAGCAGGGCTTTGTGTGCTTTTGGAAGTATGAAGTTACATCAACTGAGGTGGTTAGGACATGTGTTACATATGCCTAGCCATCACCTTCCTTGACAATCGGCAATGTCGGCTGACATTGGATAGGTCAGGTTAGAAAAGAGTTAGCTAGCGGTGGTCAAACCAAAACATGGCTTCATCAGCCAATAAAATCCACAACAGTTAGTTCAAGCCGGCCGCGAAGGAAGCTGGAGACTTCCTGACCGGTTGGAGTCCTCGGGACGGTGAAAACCAATAGGTGGTGACAGTTAGTGATATGGCTCAAAATCGTTCTCAATATCTGGCACAGATGCATCCAATCCTTGTGACTTATTATATCCAATAAAACACTATTTTTCTTACATATTACTATTCTCTTTGCCTCATATTTCTGTTCATTATCTCTATTTTGAATCTCTTTTTACTTTATTCTGTTGCTTTATGTACTACAGTGAGGGAGTTTGGTAACTCAAACGGCTGCATATTGGTGCAAAGTTCTACGCTGAAACCAGTCAGTCAGTAAGTTACACACCCATTGTCAGAGTTCCAACCTAAAACCTTCCAGTTACCAAACAAACCCGTAGACCATTATGCCACTGGGACCTGATCCAATGACCAACCCGTGAATTCAACTTCTGTCAACTCGTGATATATATGTTAGGTGGAACCACGGGTGAGCAAAAGTCCTTTTGTCTGACTCTGTAGAGAAAAACAAATTACCACATATTGTTAAATACAACAGATCACTTTATACACCATCCTACTTCACAGAAGATTATGAAACTGAAATGAGGCGAAACAGTATGATCATTTTTTTTCCTTCCCGTTCCCCAGTGGAACATAGGGCTTCAAGCTAGTGGCTTGAAGTTTCTGTAGCAGTGTTTATTTTACAGGATGGGGTTGCTAGTCTTGTGCCCAACTTTTCCTCTTTACCAGCATTATTTCTGGCTTAGCGAGGTAAAGGAGTGAGTCAGTGGCCGGGGATCGAACCCCGGACCATGTACATGGTCGGCGAGCGTCCTAACAGCTATGCCACCGACGCCAGTATGACCAATGATCTACCTCAAACGCACAGAAGACTAACGACACAAAATTCATTCACTGTCCAATCGACTCCTTTATGTAGCACAACATCATACAACTGAACTGTCATGATACCAATAGTGCTGCAAGCTTATAGATTTAAGAATAACATTTCTTACTTACTGCATTAAAAATTTTAAATGTAGCAGCAGTTGGGAATAAATCCAATCATCAATAGAATAGTGAAAATAATACAACACAAAAAAACACGGATGTTGACGTGATGATAGATACAGTGAATTATAACCTGTTGTATGACGGTTATTGATTCAACCCTGGTGTCAATGATTATGAACATTGAAGGTTTGTTCATTGGCCTTGGTCGCCATTGGCAGGCAACTTGAAGGCGCGAGTGATTCGATCGTGTACAAGTTAGACGAAGACGAAAGAATACAAATAAAAGTTCAATACATTCCATGTAAACACATTTGTTTATAGACCTAGGTACAGAATATTGACTTTAACAATCGATGAATACAATTTCTCGTCATCTATTGTGTTTTCGAATTAAAGTCGATATCCGTGCTTAGTGGTTGTCGATTCGGAGGGTCTTCAGAAATAATAGGATCTTAGGAATAAGTTCCTTGACACCTGATAAATTAAAGCTAAATTTCAAATGATGACTTGGTTTTGGATAATGTTGACCTTTTGCACTGATATTGAAAGTTGAAAGCCTTTTTGGCAATAGTGTCGAAAACTTCTGAATAAACAGAGGGTCGATATTTCAGATGTTTGGTTTATAGACACACTTGATTGGATGAATTCAAAGCAGATTTCATCGTTAGTCAATATCAATTGAAAAAGAGTTATTAAAGAACTAGAAGAGAGACAGTGAATAGTCATTGTATTCTTGTTTTAAAAGTATTCAGAAATCAGAGCGTATGTCCTTATCAGCAGTCGAATATCCAGAGCTGTCTGGTTGCAACCTTCAACTACTACTCAGTTAGAATCCAATAGCCTAGGAATTCACACTTTAATCAGTTCCCGGCCTACTATTATTTATCAATGACTGACCGTGGAATGGACTTTCTCTAGTTCTAATAAAACGTCATAACAAAAATGGGAACACAGAACTATCGATTACAATGGAAAGCGAATTGGCAGAAGCTTGAATTTCAGACTGTGTGGACACTCACAATCAGTGTCTGAATGCTACTGTGCTTAGCATATAACCGGAAGGCCCTTAGTTTAACTCTGTCATAGGATGGAGAGGCCTGTGCTCACTAGCTTTTAAAAGTTCTTTAAATAACAACAGTTCGCGAAGAAATCTAGCTTTACATATGTATCGATTATAAGAGAAAGCTTACCTTTGGATATGTATAAGCAACAGAATGTACACCTTGAGTAGCCATTATCAATGAAATAAGAATGATTCTATCTTCTGGGACATCATGTTCCACTAAAATACGCATAGCCATAATTGCAGCAGCTCCGGTGGCCACAGTAGCATCCATTAGGATAACAAAACAATCCTGGATGAAAAAAAAAACAAATGAAATTATGCAATGATGATTAACACTGTGCATTGATGAGTAATCCCCATCCAGATATTAAAGAAAACAAACACATAGTTCAGTGAACAGGCTATTTTCGGCACATTTATTTTCTTTAGCTGTACAACATTAGGAAATTCATTTGGGTTAACCAACAAGTTTCTACAGTTAGTTTGGTGTCAACTGGACGAAAACGAGATTAAATTAAACCTTTGCCACTCGGACCCGACGCATATGCAGTCTTGATGCCCAAGAAGGAGAATCCACCAAGATTCATAGACAAGAAGATCACACCAAGAGTGCAGAGGAACGAAACATTATTATTATTGTTCCCTTGGGTTCCTAGTGGAACATAGGGCTTCAACTGCACGTCTCCACTTGCTTCTGTCTTCTGCTGTACTTTTCACTTGCATCCATGTCAGTCCATACTATTTCAACTCCTCTTCACACGATTTCCTCTATGTCACAATGAAACATTACTTTAAAACAATTAGTTCCCTTTATGAATTTAGATAAAGCAATAAGAAGACGTAATTTGTCTGAATCGTGTAATGTATTTGCCCAAAACATTTCGAACAATCTGATCACACACGGACTTGTCATAGGAATCATATATGAAATTAATTAAGGGGTAAGAGGTGAGAGAATAGACTTAGGTCAAGTGAAAAGGACATATTGAAGGTCAAAATAACAATGAAGACCACTAAACCAAATAGCAGAGGTAATAGTACATCTGCTATGGTATCAAAACAAAATTTACCAAGGAAGGTTTAATGTGATGACGAATTGTTTTTGAACGCATAAATATGGCTTGAACTTTCTAGTTGCTAGGGCTTGTGCAAACTTTAGGATACGCCCAAAACACGTTTTATAGATAGGTTTAAAAGATGTGTTAACGTCAATTTTATATCCTGTCTCTATAATATGTTTCGCAATAGAAGAGCTAGGTCTCCTGTTCTCACCGTTAATAGGTTCTGAAGATTCCACTTGTTTCTGGAGCCATTTTGGAATATGCTCTGAAGCCAGCCCTTACTCGCAGAGATCGATGAGTCCTCCTTATATATGTGTGTCCACACATACATTCAAATTGGTAAATACAGTGGGATGTGACGTCATTTTTCGTATGTTCGAAGGGCTTACATAGATATAATGGCTTTACATTATTATTATGATATTAGCTGCATAAAAAGTCTTTTTAGCAGCAGCGTTCTGTCTTCGTCTAGTTATCAAGCTGCTTTGATGCCCCATACAGGGTAGTTTGATGTACACGTCTTTCTTAGGGGCGAGTTGGAGAGTGGCTCTTGGTGTTCTGACTACTTTATATCTCCTGATGAACTTGTCTGGATAATTGTTATCAACCAGAGTTTGTGTCAATTTTCTCTCTTCTTCATCAAGCATGTCTTCACTGCATATTCGTTGGATTCTACTGAAGAGGCACCTTACTACACTACTTGTTCCAAAACTGAAACTTTACATGAATCTGGATTTCAAAGTAGAGATAACCTGTGATATCCTCAAGAGAAGAATTTCAGCATCTTTGAGAAAAACATTCTCCGAAGCAATGCTAAGAGTAGTGTTCTCTAGTTATCCACTGATCCTCAGAAGTCCAAAGGATATGATCTTGCATCTGACCACTTCTATGTGCATATATCAGTTCATCCGTTGCTGTGGTGCCAGCTACATTGATCGTTCAATGCATATCCTGTCTGTCTGTCTGTCTAAAAAGGATCCAAGAACACTATCCCGAGTGGTTGCAAAAAATGTAGTAATGCCTCCAAAAAGAGTGCAATAATCGAAAACCTTGTCAATACTGGTCACAGTCGATCTCACCAAAGTACAGAAACTACCGAAGGAAATGTGCATTCGTTTCCATTGTTTTGTTGAAGCTTTAATTTTTCGGTTAGAGAAACCAAAGCGATGCATACAAAAAAAAAGAAAATTATTTAACCACTTCTACTATCATTGTTAAACAAACCTATTGATTTCTACTGAATTGGTTTTTCGTTTTCCTAACCAATTCTTCATAACTCTTGTATTTCCTTAGAACTCTCACGCAACTTCATATCTCTCTTCGTTTCAATGTGCGTCGTGATTACAACTCATTCCTTATTAAATTATTATATGCAAGATGATGTAACAGGACTGGACTACATCGACGCCTAGTTTACAAATAGGAAGTGAAGTGGTAGAGCACGTTGACCGCTTCAATTATTTAGGAAGTACCATCAGCCCCAACGGGTTGATCTCTGACGAAATCTCAGCACGAATACAGAGGGCTCGTTTCGCATTTGCCAGTTTACGACGACTCTGGCGTAGACGAGATGTTCGACTATCGACCAAAGGGCGGGTGTACTGCTCATCAGTCCGCTCCGTCCTCCTTTATGGTTGTGAGACCTGGCCACTCAGAGTGGAAGACATGAAAAGACTAGCTGTCTTTGATCATAGAGGGCTGCGCTCTATTTCCCGTGTAAAGTGGCATAATAAGGTGAGCGACATTGAAGTTAGGCGTCGAGTTCTAGGTAAACAGGGGAAATCAATCGACGAAGTCGTGAAGTTACAAAGACTGAGATGGTTAGGACATGTGTTACGTATGCCAAGTCATCGCCTCCCTCGACGAGCAATGTTAGCGGATATAGGGTCAGGCTGGAAAACAGCTAGCGGCGGTCAAACAAAAACTTGGCATCAGACAATGAAATCCACAACAGTTGGTCTAAGCCATGTAGGAAGGTGTAGACTTCCAGGCTGGGGTCCTCGGGACGGTAAAAATCTATGGTTGGAAACAATTGGTGACATGGCTCAAAATCGTTCTCAGTGGCGCAGATGCATCCACTCCTTGTGACTTATGATCTCTAATGAAACTGTTTTGTCCTTCGTTATTACCATTCCTTTGTCTCACATCTATGCTCACTGTTTCTATTATGCCTTTCTTGTACTTTCTTCTCTTGCTTCGCGTGCTACACGGAGTGTGGTGACTTGAACTTCCGCACATTTGTGCAGAGTTCTATGTCGAAAACAGACAGACAGACAGATTATATCTTATTACTTAACTCCAATTCATCTATTCGACTTCTTTTATGCAATGACTAACATTAACACGACTGTATGTGTGACAACTCATCACTTTTCCTACTCCCCTCTTTCATGAGAGAAAAAAATTGTATACAAATGCGATTGTACAGCTAAAGAGGAAAATGAAATCACTAAAAAAACAGCCTCTTCGCTGAACTACAATGTTTATTTTCACTAAACAACACTATGCAAGCACAATAAGAACTCTCCCCTTTGGTTGTCTGGGTCAAGATTAAGAAATTTTGAAAAACAATAACAAAATTTAAAAAATACTTTCAATGAAAATCGATAAAACAATGTATCTCGGTGTTTGATTTCACCTGGGATAGCAAGTCAGTATGTTAAACATATCAAATGTTGGAGTGGATAAGAAAGTGGAATTCAAGATGCAAGTTTTGGTCCCATTTGTGGCTCGTCATCTGAATCTGTAGGACTTTTAGTAGTTGATGGGGCTTCAAATGACACTTGAATCTATCACCCAACATTTGAAACTCCAAAATGTCAACTAATTAATTGCTTATACGTGCTTATTTATCATACATTAAAAATCAAATCCCAATGCCACTTAACACCATCGTAAAACCATAAAATCTACCAAAATAACTTATTTGTCACTAAGGATTGACCAATTTGTCTGTTGATAACGCAAAATGAATATTTTTGGAAAGCATGATAGCAAGATAGCACACTGTATTGATTCGAACGGTGTTATTTCCATAAGCAGTAAAGACAACGTAAACACACAAGGAGTAACCAAAGCTATGATCCTGACTATCAGTCAAATCCACCTGAGTATGAATAACTTAATGATAACATCTCAGAATGTAACGCTGATTGATTCGAGCTAGAATCCCCGAGTGGATATCAACCAGTCACTTCCAGGTTATGCATAAATTCCTTGATAACTAGAGCCGATGAGCACGTGACCTACGCTTATGACTATCTGCCAATTGTCTCCAATTACTTTACAGGAATTTTATGTCCTTATATGGTATGAGAAGGAAACATGTGTCCACATCAGAGTAGATGAAGTGAGCTTAAGAGCATGGTCATATACCTCTGGATAAATATGTCCCTGATTATTTTAGAGAAAGGAGAAGATTGGCGAATAAATGAAAAGAAGAACTGCTGTGCTGATACTTGCATAATACTGTTAGTGACTAGTACTAAAAGACTAAACTGCTGGCTTCACTGGTTCTCTAATTGAAGCCAGATCGAGATCAATTTTAAAATCAATAAAATCCCTAAATAACCAACACTGAAAAATTAATGGAATAGCCGAAGGTGGAGACAAAGGTAGAACAAACTACTCTTGTGCACAAAGATTAGGACTGTACTCTCGGATTCCTATAGCACTGTGTGTGTAAACGGCCAGTTCTAATTCGCATTCGAACCGCTCAATTGAATATGACAGATGATAACCTTGAAGGAGCTTCTTCTATCTACTGGATGATTGTTATCAATCGAATGAGGCAAAACAGAGGTTCCTATGGATTTTTACGGCCTTTTCCGAACCAGGAAAGAAGATGTGTTTGTTACGCTGTCTAGTTGTCAGCTGTATATAGGCTTTCTCCACAGGAGCAGCACAACTTATAAATCCACATAGAAGCGGCACAACTAGGCAGCTCATCTTAATCTACAACACACTAGTGCCTGACTACAGAAGGAAGGTAGTGGGGAGTCATGACTAACTGGGTCCACCGAGTTGGATGTAAAGATAAATACTTGCCAATGACAGTGACCGGTGGTCATGAATCGGTAGGAGTTATAATAGATGGGCCATTGGATTCCATCTCAGTGGTTGATTGCTGAACGAGCCCACCTTGTAACATATAAAGAGTTCCTGGGTTTATAGGTGCGTGGTACTGAAGAGTCCCGGGAAACGACGAAACACATGTCTAGTACTCCCTAGTTCTCTAGCAGAAGTCGGTTCGTGATCAATCTTGAAAATAATGATCAACATGGGAAAAATAATTTGTCTATAAATCCCTACCTATCAGCGCGTTAAATATTTTGATAAACAACAGAAAAACTATAAAGTTTAGAACATAATTTAAAGGGGAAATTATATAGAAAGGACATTTTTACCTTTATATCACGAGGTAGACGAATATAGTGTAGTTCTGGTTCACCGGTGTCAGGATTAGTTTGTATTAAAATTTTACCCAAACGAACATCTTTATATACAGCGCATAATGCTGGTTCCAGGGCTTCACCAGCTCTCAGAATGGATACACCGCATACCTGAGTACCTGTAGCTAACTGTCGACCACGATAAGTAATACCCTGAGGAGTTTCAATATCCACATCCTTCATTTAAAAACACAAAAAAAAGTTAAACACAAAAAAACCAAGTGAATTTCATGAAACGATGCAAAAGACTCTCCTACTAAATATACTTAGAATTTGAACACTGTGATGTAGCGACTAATTCCGCATTAATCCGTTTATTCAATATATCACACAGTATTAAGCAGTATTATTTACTGGATGACGCTCCGAACACAATTTACTGTTATTCATAACCATATCATCAATTGTAACTAGACAACTCTTCCATATACTAAGTAATCAACTCTTTTGTTACTTAAAGCAGGAATGATGAGTATTGGTCAACATGAAAGTACAAAAAAGCAGCAGTACAACAGGGAAATAGTATGGTGATCCCTGTAATTAATCTGACTAGAAGTCAGGTTTATATACCTGTAGCTATGTGACTAGTAATTAATGATTTTAGCTATGCACCACTTCCTATCAAAACACATTAAGCTTTCCCCAGAGGCTCCAATATTCAAGTGTGTAGTATTTGTTACTTACAAGAATATATTAGTAGCAGGTACGGCTGAGGGCGAGTAGACTCAGGTCTTTCTCTCAAAATACTCTCATCTGACCAGGTATGTCTTATTATCACCTCCTTCCATAAAAATGAAAGGACGAATGAGGATGTCTGGCGCTTACAACTGGACTAACTGATGTACATGGGCTTCAGACTCCGAAAGGGTAGAATGGCTTATGAACTTATTTTGGTCACCGCCAACCATCAAAACGCAGCTCCTCGAACTGCCCCACTGTCTTGTGGATCAGGCTTCAAGCTAAAAACTCGGGGGGGGGGGGGGAGGAGTGGCCTTTGAAGACAACCACTCGCTTCGGTTTGGGCATCCAGGTAGTATCTCAGCCTCGCACAAACTGTGAGATTTTGTGTGACACATTCCTTGGTGCCCCATAATGTACCAAGTGTGTTTTTAATAATAAATATAATAAGTACATCATGAAAGAAAACTAGACAAAGTAAGAAAAGTCGAGATTCAATTAGTAGAAAGGAACAAAAATGGTCACCAAGGCATTTCCTCATCTGACTACCACAGTTACCCAGGACAGACTTTTTATGCATTGAGCAGCTATGAGTGGTATTTATTGTGTTAGGACTAATGATAAGCAAACAGTTTCTCCGGCTAAGATAGACGGAATAGGACTAGAACCATAGGACATATCGATTGAAAGTCATGAGGAAATACAAAGACAAAACTGAGGAAAAGCTGCAGGTTGAAGCAAACTACAGATTTAATTTACATAAACTGTGCTAAATATACAATTGTAATAGACTGTCAGCAGTCGTTATTTCCTGTAATAAATAATCTCATCTCTCCAACAGACTCCGGAACATAGGCATAATCGCCGGCGCCGAACACTTCGCATATTTCTCAACCTGAAGACAGAATTCAACTCTGTCAACTGAGAGGTGTTTATTCTCAAAGGCTGGCCCGATAAAGCTTACCGTACTAATCAAGGCGCTCTACACGAACTCACACAGTCGTTAAAGATCTTATGGAGAGTTGTTATCTGAAGTGAGGACAACCAGTGGTGTCTGTAAGAGATGTCCACAGCTCCCATCTCTGTTGAATATCATCCTAGGTGTACAAATACAACTGACACCGCCAACTAAATTTAGCAACTTAGGGAGTGACTTGCTACCACAGAACAGTCTTCTCAACTTAGAGTATGCGGACGATATTATCCTCCCAGGTAAAGATGCTGATGCAATGAAGAGCTTTCTGAACACCTTGAGAAGAAATCTTCAGATATTTGGCAAGCAATTAGCTCCTGCCAAATGTACGATGATGATGTAAGACTGGGTTTTGACTCCTTCACTTATTTAAGAAGATGCATCAGCCCCAATAGATTAACTGCTGACGAAATCTCAGGACGTATACAAAAGGCTCATGTGTCATTTGTTAATTTATGTCACATTCGACGCAGACATGATATCTGACGATCAAAGGAGACAAGTACTACGCACCAGTTGACTCTGTGCTCCTTTAGGGCTGTGAAACGTAGCCATAGGTGTCTGTGTTTTATCTGATATATCAACTGGTAAAATACGGTGAATAATATCGAGGTTAGGCATAGTGTTAGGCAAGGAGGGGAAATCAATCGATGAGGTTGTGGAGGTGAAGCGACTGAGAAAGTTAACACACCTGTTATGCATGCCAAGCGATCAGCTTTCTCGACGGCCAGTATTAGCTGACATAGAACTAAGTTGGGAAGGAAATATTTTACTAGTGGTTTAAGGTAAACACACGTAGGAAAGTGTCGGTTGCGTAGTAGGAGTTCTAAGGAATGCTAAGAACTAGTGGCTGGAGACTACTAATGAAATGGCTCAAAATCGCTTTCGGTGGTGCGAATGCATTCACTCTTCCTAATCTCATAAATGCATTAAATCCTCATGTTTTACCAAGCTAATTTTCTCTGTCATGTACATCTTTACTCATGAAAGTTCCTTTGAATTTCTTTTTTCCTTCTTTTATCTACATTTGTGTGCTTTGTGGGTGTGGTAAGTACATTCTGTGCGAGGTTTTATGTTGAAATTCAATCTGTCAATCGGTTCAGAGTCAATATTATTTTTATAGCTTTCGATATATATATATATATATATATATATATACATGACCAATGATTTTTAACTACAGTTCACTTGGAGGGTAGTGTATTTGCTAGCAACTGAACCATATATGGCGTATTTTTCTTTTAAAACCTGAAGGTTCTCGACCAAAAACAGGAGGCAAGTATTCCATGGTGCTAATTGACTCCCTAGATGATGTTAGTTAGTAATATGAGCAATAAAGCCTCATTTGCCTTTGGAAGTGTGTGGGCGGTTGTTACTTCCCGATTGGCAACATCGTGGAAGTTGCTTGGTTCCTCGGGTACCTGAAACAGAAAGAGGTTTAGTGTTGCGTGACCGCAGGTCCCAGGGGACAACTGCTTGAGGCCGGTCACACATGGCCTGTATGAACTGGCGTTTTGGTTTGGTTTCGTGTTAGCAACTTATCACCGGCTAAAGACCAAAGTAGAGTAAGTTGGGGTGTACAATTTGTGGAGTCGACCTTTTCTAACCCCCCTCTCTCCAGAGTGGAGAGACAACATAGTTGGCATGCTGCTCATCTGAGGGAAACGCCTTACCGCTATTACATTTCTGTTCCCCAGAAGTACGAATTTGCCCACAGACCCCTGCCATAGAGTTAAAAGGCGTCTTACACCATGCTGGTAACTGCTTTTAGTCTAACAGCTATCCAAACAATCTTCCTGGCATGGAATATTAGTTCCAAGTCAGATCAACAAGCCATAACTTACAGGCTAATACTGGCAAACAGCTTCTCATAAAGTTCAATTAAACTCATATTTAAATTATATATATATATATATATAAATACTTAGGCATTACCATATGTGGAAGTAAATTCATTGCAGCTTCACACAGAGGTCGCATTAACCGTTCAGAATAAAAGACAAATGCATCTTGGTCTGTATTTCGATCACGTATTAATGTATGCAAGCCAAGTCGTTGAGGTGTAGTTGGTAGGACGTGTAATTGTGGTGGAAGACATATTTTATCAGACATACTATTGTTAAGGTATTGTTGTCTACTACTGTTACGAAGACGATGACAATCATGTGTAGCATTATCAACATCACCATCTCTTTTATCCTTGGAATGACCTTCCCAATTTGTACCACCATTTGAATCAGCTGATGACACTATACCATTCATTTGTCCAGGTGGAAATTTGGCTAATTCATGTCGAGAGCATAGTCCACACTGTACAGAAACGAAGAAAAGAAAATTATAGTAATAAGAATAACTATCAAATAAATAAAAATAGAAGCCCATTTGTAGTAACAAGTTAAAGGTATTCATCATGAAACCGAAGAAGACGATTAAACTCCCTCTTGAACTATCGATTATTTACAAACAAATGATGTAGAAGAGACCGTCAGGTGGCATAATAGGGTGAGTAATATTGAGATTAGGCTTTAGTCAAGTACTAGGAAAGGAGAAAAAATCAATTGACGAGGTTGTGAAGTTACATCGATTGAGTAAAGCTAATAATTTATTTGGTAGGTGGTGACTAGCAGTGGAATCCAGGATGCGCATTTCGTCCTATTTGGGACTCGTCAACTGGATGTACCTGCATTTCTCAGTGAGTGATGGTGTTCCCACCAAGGCTCAAACCTAGTTCCCATAGTTTCAAACGCCAAAGCGTTATCCATTAGACCACCTGGGCCACGAGAGCCACCTCTTTTGCAACGGGTCATATTAATCTAATTGAATTTTAGATTTTCCCGTCGATTGGTTGGACCAAAGTGCTTGGTCTCAGGTTGACATGTCGGCTTCTTGTGCAGACGCTTCGACGATGTCTGGGCATTTACTTAGTATTTAATTGGAGGATGGATAACGCTTTGGCGTTTGAAACTATCGGAATTGGGTTCGAGCTTCGGTGGGAACATCATCACTCACTGAGAAATGCAGATACATCCAGCTGACGAGTCCCAAATAGGACGATTCCAGTGCTAGTCATCATCTACCAAGTAAATACTAACTAAATGCCCAGACATTGTCGAAGCGTCTGCACAAGAAGCCGACATGTTAACCTGAAACCGAGCACTTCGGTCCAATCAATCGACGGGAAAATCTAAAATTCAATTAAAGTTAATAATTATTGTCCAGATCCCTACAAAGGAGACGAAAAAGAAACCCTACAGCGGTAAACATCAAGACCGGCATCACATGGTTATCTCTCTCGAACGTTCAAAAATTTTACTTTAGCATTTCAGCGTGATACTAAAAAGCACAAGACGTGAGTTGAGATATTATATATATTAATTACACAAAATGTTCAAAGACAGACAATTATTTCAATAATATATTGACTTTCAACAACTATGTCATCCTACAATAAGCAACTCTATACTACACTTCATTAAACGGATCAGCCAATTCATGAGTTACGAATACCATATTGTCTAGTCCTAATATTATATTATATCATTATTGTTCCCTTGGGCTCCGAGTGGAACACAGGGCTTCAACAAAACATCTCCACTCTGTTCTAATTTTCTGCTCTCCTCTTAAGCTGAGCCCACGATTACCCATAATGTCATCTCCTCCTGGCACGACCTCCTCCATGTCACCCTCGCAATGACGACCCACTCGTTGTTTGCCACTCGGATTCTACTCGAGTGATGACCTGGTGCTCGATGTCATTCGACGGTCTCCTCAACGTATCCCCGATCCATCTATCTCCATTTTCTTCTACATATTTGTTGAGCAATCGGCTCTTGCCTGTTGGTTTGTTCGCATAGTTTCTTGTTGCAAATTCTTTCTGGCCGACCACTTGATCTTCAATATGGAGCGAAGGGTAGCTGTTGATAAGTCTTCAGCTTGTTGCAAATGCCTTTCGTGATCAATTCAAGAAAAACTCACTTGACATTGGCGCTGAAAAATCCGAATCATTTTTCTTTATGTTGCGGAGCGGCAGAAGATTTTCATGCCGATTACAGAGTGATGAAGGTGTATTTTTCCTTTCCTAAGCACAATACTATTACGCTACATTTTGGTCATAAATAAAATCTCTTATTACTCTAAAATTTTATGCAAAGTGTTTGCGGAAATTATCACAATTATTAACCTTTCGAACACTGAATCCAAAAAATACAATCTTATTGACAGATAATACACATAACTCACTGTTTGGATTTGTGGAATTTTTAAACATAAACACATCTATAATTGTATATATTGTTGGATTTATATGTTCAAGTTGCTCCAAGTCAGTGAGTTTATGGTTAAGATATCATTTTAGTTAAATGTACTGAACTATATTGCATGTTGTCTTATTGTATAGTTGTCGTCGCTTTTTGCCCTTTTTTCTGTGAACTGTTTCCTTTGTTGATGTTGTTCTCATTGTTTGTCCGTTATTTTCTGATTTTGAGGGGAGCAACCCAAAAAGTTGCTTCTCTCTAAACTTTTACTTAATGTAATCATTCTTTTCTCAGGCGTGAGGCTAGCAACCCCACCCTGTAAACAAAAATTGCTACAGAAACTTCAGTATGTGAACCTCCTTGCACCAAAAGAAAAAGTCTGTGTAGGAACATGGAACGTCCGAACTATGTACGAGACTGGAAAGCTGCCCAGATCGCCAACGAGATGAAAAGATACGGAATACAAGTGCTGGGAATATGTGAGAGCAGATGGAATGGGAGTGGACTCACCAAATTGTCAACAGGTGAGTCAGTGATCTACTCCGGTCACCCAGAAGATAACCACACGCACACCGAGGGCGTGGCTATCATGATGTCACCAACGGCAACGAAAGCCCTGATACAATGGGAGGCGATTTCGTCCAGGATAATGACCGCCAGGTTCAACTCCAAAGGAAGGAAAGTGTCAATCATACAATGTTATGCACCCACAAACAACGCAGACCTCGAGAAGAAAGAAGAATTCTACAGGCAACTACAGGCAACAATGGACAATACTCCAGCTGGCGACATGAAAATACTAATGGGAGACATGAACGCCAAACTGGGACCAGACAATACGGGAAGGGAACTCATCATGGGTAGAGAAGCTCTAGGAGAAATGAATGAAAACGGAGAACTCTTCGCCGACTTCTGCGCCTTCAACGAACTGGTGATTGGTGGCAGTGTATACAAGCACAAAGATATCCACAAGGCTACATGGGTGTCACCAGACGGGCAAACCAAAAACCAAATCGACTTCATCTCAATCTCAAGGAAGTGGAGGCGCAGCCTACTGGACACAAAAGCAAGAAGAGGAGCAGACGTTGGCTCAGACCACTATCTCGTACAAGGGACAATCCAAATCAAATTAAAAGCTTTCAGGGAATCAGGAGCTGCAGATAGACCACAAGCCAAGTTCAACACTCAAAAGCTGAAGGACCAGGCTACAAAGGACATCTTCATTGCAAGCATAAAGGACAAAGCCGAGACACAAATCAACACTAGCGAAGAGGTCGGCGTTGAAAAGCACTGGAACAACTTGAAAACGGTGTGGAGCCAAACCTGCATAGAAATTCTAGGCAGAAAAAAGAGACAGGACAAACAGTGGCTCACTACGGACACTTGGAAACTAATAGAAGAGAGAAGGACAGTGAAGCAAAAGATTATCCAGTGCACGGACGAGCAACAAAAACAGGAGCTGAATGCAAGCTACAATACACTGAACAAAAGAGTGAAGAAAAGTGCCAGGGAAGACAAAAGAAAATATTATGAAACCATGGCAAACGAAGCAGAACAAGCTGCAGGCAAAGGAGACCTCGCCACACTCTACCAAACAACTAGGAACCTTTCGGGCAAACGTTCGACACAGATTAAGCCAATAAAGGACGACAATGGAAAGTCAATCACCAAAGAGGTGGAACAGAGAAAGCACTGGGTTGAACACTTCAAAAGACTTCTAAATCGTCCGCCACCTACAACACGTCCAGCAATACCAACAACGGAAGCAGAACTACCAGTGAACACTGACCCCCCGACGAAATCAGAAGTCCTGAATGCAATCAAGATGCTTAAAACTGGGAAAACACCGGGACCAGATGGAATCCCAGCAGAGGCTTTGAAAATAGACCCAGAGACAACAGCGGACTTGATGACACCACTACTGGAGAAGGTGTGGAAAGAGGGCAAAGTACCCGAGGATTGGAAGAACAGTTACTTATTCAAACTTCCAAAGAAAGGAGACTTAAGTCAATGTAAAAACTGGCGTGGAATTATGCTTCTGTCCATTCCAAGCAAGATACTAAGTCGCATCATCCTGGAGAGAATCAAACAAGCCCTAGATGAAAAACTTCGTCCGGAACAGGCTGGATTCAGGAGAAACAAATCATGTATTGATCAAATCGCCACTCTACGGATCATCATTGAACAAAGCTTGGAATGGCAGTCACCTCTCTATCTCAACTTCATCGACTTTGAAAAGGCCTTCGACAGCGTCGATCGAGAGGTCATTTGGAAACTACTTCGCTACTACGGGGTCCCATCGACAATTATACACCTCATCCAACAGTTATACGACAATGCTGCATGCCAAGTAATCCACAACGGGAAACTTACGGAAGCCTTCGAAGTGAGGACGGGAGTGAGGCAAGGCTGTCTACTATCACCAATGATCTTCCTGATTGCAATTGATTGGATAATGCGACAGACAACGGCAACCAACGAGGGAACAGGCATAAAATGGACTGACACAAAAGACTTGGAGGATCTGGATTTCGCCGATGATATATGTCTGATTTCCCATAAACTGGAAGATATGCAAGTGAAAAGTAACAAGTTGGCAGAAGAAGCATCAAAGATAGGACTTCACGTGAACATAGATAAAACAGAGATGATGAAGATTCCTAGCCAACATCAACAGCACAACAACAACAGACCACAATAAGCATAAATGGGAAGAACCTGAAAGAAACAACCTCCTTCACCTACCTGGGAAGCATCGTCTCAACTACAGGCGGAACTGACGAGGACATCAAAGCCAGAATCGGAAAAGCAAGACAAGCTTTCATTACTCTCAAATCTGTGTGGAGGTCAACAGCAATCAGCATCAAAAATAAGATCCGGATTTTCAACTCCAATGTGAAGTCAGTGCTACTATACGGATCAGAGACTTGGCGAGTCATAAAGAGCATCTCAAACAAACTTCAAACCTTCATTAACAACTGTCTCCGCTCAATACTCAAGATCAGATGGCCAGAAAAGATCAGCAACAGGGATCTCTGGGAGCGAACCAATCAGGAACCGATTGTGAAACAAATAGGCAGAAAGAAATGGAGATGGATTGGCCATACGCTGAGGAAACCATCAAGTGACATCACTAGACAAGCCCTCGAGTGGAACCCGAAAGGGAGGCGGCGAGTTGGTCGTCCAAGGGTGACTTGGAGGAGGTCATGCGAGGAGGAGATGAAAGCATGTGGACAGACCTGGAGCAGGGTGAAAAAGTTGTCAGAAAACCGAAGTCAATGGAGGTGCGCAGCTGAAGCCCTATGTTCCTCTAGGAACTAAAGGATACAATAATAATAATAATAATAAGCACAATACAAATTATGTTGACTAAATCCACATAATAATTAGCAGCATAACTTGACTGATAAGAGGCAGGCAACCCTGTCGATCGTTTCCAATCACTCTATGCAGTTGAGTATGGATTTCTAAACTGTAAACCAAAGCTTAGAAGGACTAATTAATAATGATAATAATTTCCTATAGTTAGTTTGTAAGAATTAGTTTTGTTTTAACGAGTTGATCACGGATTGATATGAGATAGAGAACCGTTTAAAACCAGTAGGGAGTACCGGACAGCTGTTTCATCCTAATTTGGGAATGAATCATCGGCAGCACGCACCCACCGCCAAGGTTTGAACCCAGGAGCTTACGGTCTCAAGGCAAGCTGGCTCGTATACCATTCAGCCACTGAGACCCGATTCAATGGCCAGCCAATGAATTCTAACTTCTACCAATTCGTGATTTAGAGCGACCCCAACCAATGTCGTTGGTGAGAAATGTTCGCTAGTGACTTCCTATAGGACCGAGTTTCCTGAAGTTCTAGTGAGAAGTCGCGACCAGTGAGGTCCATCCAAATGTGAAGTGTGAGGATGGATATCCCACTGACGACATTGGTTGGGGTCGCGCTAAATCACAAATTGGTAGAAGTTAGAATTCATTGGCTGGCCATTGAATCGGGTCTCAGTGGCTGAATGGTATACGAGCCAGCTTGCCTTGTAACCGGAAGCTCCTGGGTTCGAACCTTGGCGGTGGATGCGTACTGCCGATGATTCATTCCCAAATTAGGATGAAACAGCTCTCCGGTACTCCATATTGGTTTTCAATGGTTCTCTAAGCCATATCAATTCATGATCAACTCGTAAAAATAATAATACGCTTTATTCCAAAACAGTACTGATGTTACAGTGTGGAATTTTCAGCCTTTAGTAAATTATTGCATCTAATTTTGTCGAATAATATTAAAAACGATTATAAAGATAGTATTACAGGATTATTAATGACAGTTCTTATTTGGTATTAGTAGTGACAGTGAAGTCATATATATATATATATATATATAATTATAAATAATAATAAGGTTGATTGAGGTGGTGTCACCACAGATTACAAATAAGAGATAACAAAAGGGTCAATTATTTAGCTAACAACATTCATAATTCATAAGTTTCACATTTTTGCATTGTCTCTATCACACAGAACAAGGCCTTGCCAAATACGGTGTCGTTGAGTTCCTACACTTGGTAATACGAGCATACAATCTTTTGTACTGACTTCTAGTTGTACCAGATTAGATACAAGGCGAGCCTTGGGAATAAAGGGGGCGGGGGTGTTGAGGGTCAGACAATATGCATGTAAACCACTTCTCGCATAAGTTTAGATGTCTATCAATTAATGTAGTGACCGGCTGACTAAGTTGCACACCACTTGTCCCACTGATAACCTTTAATACCCTTCTCAATTGGTGACATGGCTCAAAATCGTTCTCAGTGGCGCAGATGCATCCACTCCCTGTGACTAATAATCTTCAATGAAACTGTTTTGTATTTCTTTATTACTCCTTTGTCTCACACCTCTGCTCACTGTTTCTATTATGCTTTTCTTGTACTTTCTTCTCTTGCTTCGCGTGCTACACGGAATGTGGCGACTTGAACTTCCGCACATTTGTGCAAAGTCCTATGTCGAAAACAGACAGAATACCCTTCTCAAAATGACAGTCCTTCTTCAGTAGACCAGGAAAGATTAAGGGGGAGCAGTAAAGTACAATAGGTAAAAAGTAGGGGTTCATTGACTCCAGATTGTCTTACCTTCTTAACGCAGGAGATCGATAAAATATAGGATGAACAAGTTAGGTTAGAGGATAAAACTATACCAAGGTATTGTGTTAGACCTAGTTTCTAATCCCCCTCTACGCTACAGGCATCATAAGTACTGATCAGTTGTTGTAGATCACGTTTATGCCTTAAGGAGAAGTCAATAGTCTGGCATTTTGAGGGATTCAACGTAAGACAATTTAGCTTAGACCACTGACTGATGTCCGACAAAAAGTTATTAAGTTTGCAACAGTCTGACTGGGACTTGACAGGAAACGAGACGGCGGTCAGACCATCAGCGTATTTAACGAGGTTGATTTCATTAGGAAGAGGTAAGTCGTGTAGCAAAAAAGAAAAAAAGAAAAGGAGAGAGAACAGCACCCTGAGGAACACCAGCCTCAGTAAGCTTAGCACTTACCACACTGATAATAATATTCTTAGGACATGTCTGTTAGTGACACAAAATACAAATATTAGACATAAGGATAGAATTTGGGCTCTGTTGTAGGGTATAATTCCGTGATAAAGCAAATTTATTCGATAAAACCACACAGTGTTAAACAGTATTATTTACTCATGACGTTTCCAGCACAATTTATTGCTGCTCATAATCGTATCAAGTCAATCACATATCTTTCCAAATTCATTTATATAACTCCATTATTTTCTTGTCCATTGGTTTCATTGATAGTAGCATTTTTCATATCTCTGGGTATTGGCGTTGAGTCATTCCTATTACATGCCTTACGTGTAGATTCGATGAACAAAGATTTAGTATATAAGAAATAAAACCGATAAAAGAAGTATTGGTGTTAAATAACTGATCGATAAAACTCGTCAAAAAGATCAAAAAAGCTGAGAAGAAAATTGTACTGGGAAATAATGACTTTTTTTAAGGAAGGGACATTTGAAACTCTACCTAGGATTCATAATAAAGTAAGAATTAAGGTGGCATTCAGACCTACAAACTCACTGAGAGGTGAGTTCTGTAGGCTAAAGGATCCTATTAACCTAACTAGACACAATTACGTTATCTAAAAAAATGCCATGCAATAACTGCAAGGTCAACCGCATAGGTCCGACCAGTAGATTTGTGGGTAGTTCGATTATCGGAACTTAAGAATTTAGCTAGGCATAGAACAATTGACCCCATGAAGATGAATACTTTAAGGAGAAACTCCGTAATCTCAGAGCATGCAATAACACACAATCAGACAATAGGGTGGAACATAACTGAAATTCTAACAAGTAATACAGGTAGGTGGAGACAGAGAGATTGGTCACTGAATCTATTTCTATCGAATCTACAGCGAATACGTGCAGTGGGAAGCATGCAACCCCAATACCATAGATTTAAAAAATATTACTACCAATCAAATCAACGAATAAGAAATAATGCAATTTTATAAATGGAGTTTGGAAGTTGTGTGATTGAGACTTGATATGATTACGAGTAATAAATTATGTTCGAAAAGTCATCAGTAAATAATACTATATCCCTGTGAGTGCTTTTATCAAACAAATTTATTCTACAATGGTACAAACATTAGATGTAACAAAGAATATTACCTGTTTTAAACGTTTATTGATGTGCTGGACAATCAGTTGTAGAGCGACGATATTCTGTCCACCTGAATAATAATAATAATAATAATAATAATGCGAAGAATAAATCACAAAATAGTGATTTTGGCACAAATGAAACAAATCAAAGTTACTCTTTTTCCCTACTTGTAACTAAGTGTACAAAATACACCATCAGAATCATTTAAAGATTAAATTACAACCTCAAATGATGAAAAATTTCTCGACTACACGGAAACTTTCAGTTATGTTTCACAATATGTCGAAACTGAAATAAAGGACACCGAGTTGGACGATGACTGTCACTTGACTTCGCCAAAAACATTATACGACAACTAGCTGTTTCCCCAGCCTGTGTTACTTAAACGAGAACACACAACGACGTAAGATGCATAGTATATTTCATGCAATGATGTATAATTCAAAATATCACCCCGGATATGTCAATCAGTCTGTAATCATGATCAATAAAATATTAGCGTTATTTTATGTTGGCCAATCCTGAATGGTCTATTTCTAGACTGCATATTGATTACTTAGATGGGCCAAATTCTGATTGGTTTATTTCCAGACTGGACATCAACCATCATATCACTTCCTAAGTAGGGAACTGAGATTTTCATTCAACTAAGATGGAATACTTTTACAAATCACAGACGAGTAGTGTCGATATTACTTAAAACATCAATGAAATGTTTCAAAGTCAATTTGATTTCCTAAACACCAGTTGAAATATCAATTGAGTGGCCTTGTTGAACTTCATTCACAAATTACGCCACTTTGTTTTGTTTTAATCAGCCACGTTCCGTTAAATTGTAATATTTTCACTAGCGCAGTTTTCAAACATTTCAATTCATCGTTTTTTATGTATCCTATAAATTTGAGGGCAAATATCATAATGGATGGCAACAAGCAACACAAATCAAATAATTGTCCCTGAATTTTTCATTACCATTATTATTCCCATTGGTTCTTAAAATAGCATAGTGTTTTAGAAGCACATTTCCATCTCAGCCTGTTCCTTTCAGTTTGTTTTTAACTGGCTCCATGACTGACCGTAAGTTCTCATCTCCGCCTCACATAATTCCCTCCATGTAACCCTCAGAGCCATGCTCGACTCATCGTCTCTCATTCGGGTTCCACTCTACGACCAGGCTTGCGATTGCGTCCTACTTATCTCCATTTCACTATGCACATATGTTGGGCAATAGGTTCAGAGATCCTTGTTGCTAATCTTTTCTAACCATTTGATCTTCGGTATGGAACCAAACAAAGCAGCGGTTGTTGAAAGTCTAAGGCGTGAATTAAATAGTCAGTATTAACTTCAAAATTCGTGGTTATTTCTTTTGATTTTATTTGTAAAAAGAGTACACATTTGTTGCAATAAGAAAATGTTGCAAAATCTCAGTCGATCGAATAAAGTGATTATTATTTACGTTATTATTTTTGTAGCATATTATTGACCGTTACCGCAAAACAGAGATAGATAAACACACAATATGGAGTTTATATATAAATCTGTCGCTGTCAATAGTAATAGGACTTAATAAAACAAAATCGAACTAAGGATTAACAAGAAATAAATTCAAAGGCATCAATAACATCTATTCACGACCTATACTGATATGAAGAGAATAGATACCAGTAATTGCCCTAATAAATTGTGAATAATGAATGACCCTGGAAGTATTGGGATAACAAATTCTCACTGTCTCCGAAGATCTTAACCTTATTTTATCCTGTTTTTATTTCATAATTTATCATCACAGTGAAATACGTTGTAGGTTAACACACTTAAATGAGTGTTCCAAATCGACAAATTGTGATAAAGCTTCATCGATCCAACAATTGCCGTTTGAAATGAGTTTATGAAAGTGTGTCGGTGGTAGTTATTAACTTCCCAACTGATTTCCTCTTAAAGTACATGAAAGAGAAACAGCATTAGTGCTGGATGTCCGCAAAGCCCAAGAGATAACTGCTCCCGGCCGATGACACACACCGGTGTTTAGAGGGATTTGTGGAGTTCAGTCTGTAGAAAGATTTTATCGTCAGCTGTAGATCTGACATCAAGTAAAAGTCAGGATGTACACTTTTCGTGGCTGATATTTTTTAACCCTTTCTCCGCATAGTGGTGGTTAGGCAGACATATTTGTCTTGCTGCTGGTCGCCGGATGGAAACACCGCCAGTAACTGGCCCACACCGACAAACCCAACGTAGTGTACAAAACTTCCACTATGATGTTAGCTTCTCTTGGTATAGTTCTTTCAGCTATTGTGATATGCAAGCCCTACCACAGACCATCAAGGTAGCTCTGCTAGTGGTTAACACTCACTTTTGCAGAAATAAATCTACGCTATGAAAAATCATAGAGAGATGACGAGGGAAAAAGGAGGGAAAAATACACTACCTCTTGGTATAATAATATCTGCTTGAGCCATGCTTGGAGCAATAAATTGTTCATAAGATGGTTTAACAAAACGTGAATATTGTACAAGGACATCATTCAACTCCCGTCCACGTTCAGTGATATCACGACGAAGACGACGAGCTAAGCGTTCATCAGCGTCAGTATCAACAAACACCTTCAAATCCATCAACTATTTGTGCATAAAGAAAACAAACAGAGACATATAATAGAGGAATTAGATAAGTTTTAGATTTTTAAAAATCTATATTGGGTTGAGTGAAAACCACAGTGAAAAGAGATTGATTAAATAAAATGTTTGGATGCCAATTTAGCTAAAGGGTGGGAAATATTCGAATATTAGTCTTGGTGAGTGTGTGTGTGTGTGTGTGTGTGTGTGCAAGACAGAGGATTGTGTCACTATATGACTCGACAATGCGTTAATGACAAACTACCGCTTATGTCCACCTCTATGTGCATAGACTCATTCACATGCTCGTGTGGAGCTGATTACATTGGACGTTGTAAGCGTGTTCTCGGTAAACGCGTAGCTGAATACTACTCCAGTTTGTTTGACGAAAGGTGAGCATAGAACAAATCTCAATGGGAACACCACCACTCACTGGGGATGCAGAGATATATCTAGATCCAGTTGACAAGTCCCAAAGTGGGACTGTAAGTCAACACCGACGACAATAAAGCACACTATGCCCTTGCAGATACAGCGGACATCCGAATGGGAATTCAGATACCTTCAGTAGTGTGGAAATAATTATTAATTATAACACTATATGAAAGTATTCAAAATAAAACAGTAGGACAGCAATAAGGGAAGTAGAAAATCTGTTGAGGAACTGCAAATAGAGCATACCTTAGTCACTCCTTGCGAATAGAACGCCAATATTCCTTCAATAATGATTATATTAGCCCCATAAACTGTATTCTGTTTAAAAAAAAGAGAAGGACACGAATACAAAAAATAATTGAACAAATAGCAGGCAAGGTTGATACTACTAATCGAGACAAACAAACGCGCTTCACCTGAAGTTCTCGCCTAAATTACTAGAAAAAAACACATCAAATACTACTTTATTTGTATCCTTTATACATTTCGAATTTCTTTCACTTATCTAGGTAGCATCGTTTCAACTACAGGAGGCACAGATCAAGATGTTAAAGACAAGGTCGGAAAGATGACACAGACCTTCAATAATCTGAGAATCAACCTGGAACTAGGTACACAGAACGAGATTCAAATTGTCAACACCAATGTCAATTCACTCAATGCTTCTATTTTTTTTTGTCCATCACGTTCCCAGTGGAACATAGGGCTCCAAGCTAGTGGCTTGAAGTTTCTTGTAGCAGTGTTTAATTTTACAGGATGAGGTTGCTAGCCTCATGCCCAACCTTTCCTCTCTACCAGCATTATTTCTGGCTTAGTGAGGTAAAGGAGTGAGTCGGTGGGCGGGGATCGAACCCCGGACCATGTGCATGGTCGGCGAGCGTTCTAACCGCTATACCACCGACGCTTCTATACGGTGTCACAAAAAGCATTCCCAGCAGCTTGGTGTAAACTTTTACCAACCGCTATCTTCGCTGGCTCCATAATGAAGATCAGATACGTAGAAAGGATTATCAACTAATTGGGAACTCTGACGGGCAACGAACCCACTAAAAAACCTATCAGCCAACAAATATGCCTAATCACATAGGGATGAATTAGACACACGCTCTGAGGACACGCCTAGTCCTTGAGAGGAACCCAAAATGGGAAATGTCAAGTTGAACATGACTCCATGAGGCAACATGGAGGGGGAGGGACTGTGTGGCGCGTAGATGACACAGTCTACAGTCAGTCAATCGTGGAGCCAGTTAAAAATGACTGAAGCCAAATATGTTCCATTTGGAACCCAAGAGAATAATAATCAAAAAATAATGATACATTTTTAACAACAAAAAAACGAAATTCTTGATCAAATTATTCCTAACGCATATTATCAATGATTACTCAGCTAACTGTCCATATGGTAAAGTCGGACGACATCGGAGAATTCTGAGAATAAGCCACTGTCTTACTGACAGATGTGTACGGATGATACTGCTATGTAAGACACATGATAACAGTTATGTTGCATGAAATTGAGATGAAAAAATAAGAAGCTCTGAATCAAAAAAGTCTGCACTGATTGATTACAGGATTTCATCGTAAGCTGACATCGGTTAGAGGTCTGTCTGTATATCTGTTTTCGACAGAGAACTTTGCATATATGTGCGGCAGTTCAAGTCGCCACACTCCATGTAGCACACAAAGCAAGAGAAGAAAGTACAAGGTAGAGGACCATTGGAAAGTCCACCAGGGAGTACTGGACAGGTGTTTCGTCCTAGTCTGGGACTCTTCATCAGTACACATCCACCTCCAGCGTTCGAAAACAAGACCTTCTGGTTACAAGGCGAACTCGTAGACCATTAAGCCTCTGGGACTAGATTCAATGGCGACCCCATGAATTCCAACTTCTGTCAATTTACGACATAGCGCGACCAATAGTCAATGTCTTCGGCGAGTATTTGTATTCACGCTCGACCTGCTGTATCCCCTACTGGTCACGATTTCCCACTAGAACCTAGGGTAACTACCTACCTGAATAGAGCCAGCCGATAATGAGCATCTCATTGATATTCAAGTATCGATTTGTAAGGATTTGATTGATTGGCTACAGGATTTCAGTTAAATCCCTACAAACCAATACTTGAACCGGCACTGAGTTATTGCAACGAAGGCTGTGTGCTGTCGCACATTTCGCCAAAATCCTTGTAAAAATCAATAATAATAAAGAGGAAAAATAAATTGGCTGCAGCAGTACAGAGATTGATTGCACCAGTAGGATGGCAGCATTGAAGGTTCGGATAATCGACCTGAACATAAACGTGTATACGCGCACATGTCAACAGTCTCAGTATTAGTACCAGCTATCTATCTGTCTAACAATATAATCGACTCTTAATTTTTTTTGTTTTTAAATATTATAAAACAAAGAATAACAACAAATCAAAATTACCGTTTTTGAAGTACGCGAGTGCGTTTTAAAATCATACTCGGGCACTTCGATCGTTTTGCCTTCTCTTAATCTCCGTAAATGAGCTTCAAGCAGATCAAAATCAAATGCATTCGGATGATCAAAGTTATATTTACACGCAGCGGCTTGAAGTTTTTGTTCTGAATTGAGAACCTGAAATAAAAATTTTTTGTTTTGTTTTGTACAGAATAAATGTATGTAGTATCGCGTAAGAAAAAAAATCCCTTTTACAGATAATACAGTGCGTTGGTGGCACAGTGGTAGAAAGCCCTACACAGAAACACCTCGTCAGGTAGAGTGAGGGCATACAACCAACTATCATCACTCTTCCCAACCAACAGTGGGGTTAGACAGGGTTGCCCAATCTCTCGATTTCTCTTTAACTTTGCCATCGATGACATCCTGGAGTCAGCTCTGAAGGATGTACGTGAAGGTGGTGTAGATCTGCTACCTGGAGATAGACTTTTTGACCTCGAGTATGCAGACGATATCGTCTTACTGTGCGATAGCATGCAGGCTGCCCAAATCGCACTTAACCAGTTGGCCATCAGTGTCTTTAATTATGCTATGTGCTTTGCACTCACTCTTGTGGGTGAACCGTTTGCAGTTGTTGCTAAGTTTGTGTACTTGGGTAGTTGTATGCGTGCTGGCGGAAGGGTGACCGATAAGATTTCCAACCGTATAATGAAGGCTAGGGTGGCATGCACCAACTTGAGCCACCTATGGCGCCGTCGCAACGTTAGCCTGGCTGTCAAAGGTCGGGTATATAATGCTTCGGTGCGGGCTGTCTTGCTCTACGCCTGTGAAACCTGGTCTCTCTGAACTGAGGATGTGCAGCTACTCTGCGTTTTCAATCATCGCTGTCTCCGCAGGATTGCTTGCGTTCGATGGCATCATCGCGTGAGTAATTCTGAGGTTCGGTGGCGTGTGTTTGAACACAGTGGAGATCACTACTCATTGAGTGTAGTCACCTGTAAACACCGGCTCCGGTGGCTTGAACATGTGCTGCGAATGTCACCCCAGAGGCTTCCGTACAGGTCTCTGTTCGCTAGCCCTGGGATGGGACGGAAAAGGCGGAGAGGTGGTCAGTCCATGACGTGGCGTCGTGAGATGAAGGATTTTTGTGCTAGATTAGCATCGGTTGGTGTGTCAAGACTCCCTGGTTGGGGTCCGAGAGATAGCTCAAATCGATGGCTCGAAACGTTATCGGATATGGCCAAGAATCGCAGTCATCAATGGCGAACGGGTTGCAATTTCCTCCTTTTTTTCTTTCCCGATGATAGTTAACGAATACTGTTTTAAGTTTTCAAGCATGACTAGTTTTCTTCCAGATGAAGTTCTTTATTCGTTCTCTACTTATATTTTTACTTTTAATCTATGTTGTTTTATTATTATTATGTGGCGCATCTTTCTTGGTGCCATATTGTGCCAAGTTTTTTATGCGTTCAAATAAAATAAATAAAATAACAGTGATAGAATGCTTGCCAACCACGCCTCATGTGGTTCGGGGCTCGACCCCCGGCCACCGATGTACTCTTTTACCTAGCTACGCTAATAATAAGACTAGTAAAGGGGGGAGATTGGACATGAGCCTAGCAACCTCATCCCATAAAAAATAAATACCATTGCTACCGAAACTTCAAGCCTGTAGCTTGAAGCCGTATGTTCCACTCAGAAAACACAGGAACAAAATAAAACAGATAAATAACAATGCAGTATTGCAATGAATAGTTCTGGCGGCTTTACTTCACTTGACAATGAGTAATATTTTGGCATGATGCAGACTGATAAGAAGCGATCAAAAACTGAAATCAACATTCTAAGTTATTGACTGCACAGAAGTAGATGTGTTATTTTAGATTTAGTTTACGTTGTGGACATGAAATAACCGCATTGGACAACTCCTATAACACCTTGGGCCAATCGCCAACCACCAACCAGAACAATTAATTCCCTCCTGACCTAGCAGAGTTTTAGTGTGGTTAAAAATGTATAAATATGATTTATATTTCCCCAATAAAGGTTACCAAGTTTCTTATCTTCTTCCGTTACATGATGAACAGAAATGCACCTGCCATAATCACGAATGGTGGAGAAAAGAAGCAGTTAACAGCCGAAATCGATTTAAAATTTGATTCTCCAAGGTCAGTATAGAGTGAACGGTTGAAACAAATGGTTTAAAAGTTGGATGTTACAGTTTAGTAGTCAGGTAACCGACTGGCTAGCTAGCTTCTTTCAAATAATTTAATATGTCACCAAAACAGATTGCAAGGCACGGAGAATTCAAACACAGAATGTGATTCTCATCGAAATTTGCTAAAAATCGTAGATTTACCACAACTGTTTCTGAAATATCAATACTGCAGGGGAAACATATATATAATTCAATTCTCATCTTATTTAATTCCTTGATGAAGTGTGTGTATGTGTTTGTGTGAATGGAATATGACACATCTTTAATCTTATAAATAGAATTTAGGTTTGAGTTTTGCACGCTGAACTTGTGGATCAGCCGTAAAACGGATCCTGGTACAGGTAAGTTTTATTTTCTCACCTCACACACATGCACGTTGACGGTGTCAATAGTTTGAGGCCAAAATTGAATGTGTTTGACTGGCTTAAACAATCCTATCTGTCAGTCTGTAACGACAGAAGATAAGGGTCAGGCAACAATACTTCATTTAGGAAATCAAGAGATATTTATAGATTCTTGTGTACATTATTATTCGTTATTGTTAGCAGAGAAGCAACGTCTTCTGGCTGGTTGTTTTCTTGCTGAAGGTTATTCTGTACTGCTTGTCACCGTTGCTTACAAAGTTATCCATATATCTGCGAATCGTATTTGCACACGCTAAGTCTGCTATGATTGGTTGTTGAGTTCCTCAAGGTTAGGCTTTGTTCTTACTTTCTCTCATGACCTCGATTTGGGACGCAAACATTGACGTCAATTGTTGTCTACAATTTTGTTTTGTAGACATCTCTCACCACAAGTCAATGAGTTTACTATTAGATTCGGATCCCGTTCCACCTACTCCATCCTGGAGACCTGGATAGCATATAATCAGTTATAACATAAAAAGTATGGCTCATCGCCTGGTTCATGATAAACTCTTCACACCTGAAGTCAGTAGGTGAATCGTGATTAAACGATTAAATAATGCGACTCAGTTACCCAACAGAGTACTTTTAAGTGTGCATATAACATACAAAATATGTGTGAGGGACAATGATACCCCACTGGGTTGTACAAACCGTAGTACCTGTGATCAAAGCTAGATTAGTTTAGAGAAAAGTTTAAGGTTCTTTAGTGGATTGTTACAAGCAATGAAATTCACAGGAAACGCATGTTGTTCTATTTTGGACTTGTGAGTTCTATGTACCTAGAATCCCCGAAATAAGAAGAAATGCACATTCTGGATTCCCCTCCTCCGCTGCTAGTTATCACCTAATGAATAACGTCATGTTAATCCTTAGACATCGTCGAAGCGTCGTAACTGGTATCTGACATGTCCAGAGAGACCGAACATGTCGGTCTAATACAACCACTCGAAAAGAAATGCAAAATTAACTTTCAAGAGTTAATATATAAGGATTTGATTTGTTCCAAGTTTGATCACAGATAGATATCAGTTGGAGAACCATTGAAAACCAGCACGGAGTACTGGATAGCTGTCACGTCCTAGTTTGGGACTCATCGGCAGTAAGCACTCACCGCTAGGGTTCGAAGCCAGGACCTTCCGGTTACAAGGCCAGCCTTGCAGACCATTCAGTCATTGGGATCCGACTCAATAATGGCCACAGCATGAATTATAACTTCTACTATCCTTAACTTTAAAATAAATGCAGTGATAGGTCATATAAAAGTCCACTGGCCTGACTCATTTCCTTAGTTCTATACAGTATGACCAGCAAACTATATACAAGTAGAAGTATGAACAAAGCCTCAGGATGGTCGGGGGTGAGTGCCTTGCGCTGCGGGTCGGCCACCCCTCCGCACACCTCTTGAAATGCTCCCATATGACCAGGCGTCTTACATAGCCTCTCCTGAGGAAGTCCTACTCACTGCCTTCACGTGGCGGAGGTGTTTCTCACCAAAGTGAGAGGGCGAAAGCGGATGCCTGGCGCTCTCCACCGGGTTGACTGTCCATTGGATGACAGTCTAGGGGAGATGGCTAAACCCTGATTCCAAACCTCCAACGATTGGCGTATGAAGCTCACTGGAGCTCACCGGCAGACGTATGGACAAAGGGCTTGTTGGATGTCCTGGATGTCTGGCCCCCTTCAAAAAGGCATATGAACCGAACTCCGGTCATCGGCTGCCAATGGATAGTGGACTCCTTACTCCACTCCTACTGCCTTGTAGGTCACACTTGGTTTTGTAAAGGCTAGAGCTGCACTCTCAAACAAAAGGCCGAGCGATTCTGGGGACATCACTCGTACCAAATTCCCATAAAACTTCATGAACTCTCTTACAAATTGCCGCGCCTGGGCAGCGATGATTCGAGACGTTCATGAAGCCGACTCATCCTCCCGTAGGAGATAGCCGAAGTAAAGTAAAGTAAGTAAGTAAGTATGAACAAAACAAACTAACCTTATAATATGAATCCATACTTAACAAACTGACCCATTGTACATCCAAACTTTCAATGATTGCACGTGCAACTGAAGTTTTACCGCTAGCACTTCCACCACATATACCAATTACAAGTGGTTGTTGAGTTTGTCCTTCAACATTATACCATGGTGGACGTCCATGTGTAAATATAGTTCGATTACCGACACGAAGAACCGGTTCTGGTAATCCCCAGGTGGTTGATGATACAGAAACAAACTGAAATATGTATGTATGTAAGCAGACGTGAAGTAGGTTGGTAATTTTGTAATTAACAAGTTGAATTTTCGAGAATAATATGGCATAGGCAATAAATCGTATTATTTACATTGACAATCAATAGTATGCTATAAATGTGACACCTAATTATTAGTAAGTTAGGTTATTACTTGTCCTATTTTCAATTCACCCGTTAAAAAAAATGTCCGGAAACTATCAAAAATCAGTCTTACTGTTTAGAAAAAAAAGCGGAACTAAGACACGTAAAACATTGTCAAAAAAAATTAGTAAATCCAGGTATTCATAGCAGTAAGTATAGCACTTACTAAATAATACCTACTGACAAGCGAAATAACCAGCGAGAGGGAGAGAGAGAGAAATGTGACTTTAATAGCACATTTCAAGCAATAAATATATAACGCTCAGACTAGACAACTATATTTATACTCGAATTTATTATCTATCTATCTGTCTAATGCCATTAGACCTGAAATCACCCAGAAGGTTTAATGAAACTTTCTCATATACAATAAACTTATGTTGTGGGAGGTGTTGATCAGACGTTCAATGATGGCACTTCTGATTGAACCAGTGCCTCCTCTTTGCAGTCACGCTGGGTAATATTCTCTTACACGTTTTTAAAGGACGCGCATATAACGACCTATGTACCTAGCTCCGCACGAGCATGTGAACTGGTATATGCACAGTGAATTGGTCATATGCGAGAGTTTGTCCTTCGCGTTGTTTTGAAGTATTGGACGGCTAGAGAATGTCACTCTTAGTGTTGCTGCAGGGAAGGTCTTCTTTACAGAGCTGGACATTCTTCTCTTCAGGATATCGGCTACCAAATATTCCCTGAAATTCAGATTCAGATACAGTGTTTTCATTGGCGCTGAATCACATTCTTCTCTTTTGGGCTTAGGTTTCATGTCTTTTCGACCAAAACGTATCGGGTAGCCATTTTGAGCCAGGATAATTTTGAGGAATAGGAGCTCCTCTTCCATACAATCGCTGCAGCAGATTTTTCTAATGCGATGATGAGAGCTCGTTTTTGGCTCAAAGGTATCCAACTATGGAAATGCGTTAGTTGGCCGTTTCATGTCGGTTTTCGTGGATGAACCTCTTCAGAGTTCCGTCGTCTCTTCTTGTTAATTCCACGTCTAGAAATGGAATCTTTGAATCGTTTTCTAATTCCATTGTGAATTTAATCGAAGGATGGGAATTGTTAAATTCTTGTCAGATGCAGTTGAGGTCCGAGTTATCGTAGCCGTCTGTTTTGGAAAAGAACTTTGCACATACGTGTAGCAGTTATAGTCGCCACACTCCATGTAGTACATATGGAGTGTGGAGACTATAAAGGTATCGTCAACGTACCTTTCGTACAGTAGTAATTTGTTGATTGTTGATTTTAAAACTCCACTCTCCAAACCGGCCATAAAGCAGTCTGCTAAAAGCGGGCCAAGAGAGATCCCATTGCAATTCCGTCTTTCTGTCTGTAGATGTCACCGTTGAAGGTGAATTGTACATTCAGCGTGCATCTCAGCAACAATTCTTCAGATATGATATTGGTACTCCGACGCTTATATTGATTTCTCCATATAATTGCACAGAAAGCAAATTGTTTCTGTTAGTGGCACGTTGGCAAAGAGAGATTCGACATCTAGTGATAACATTCGTCTATCATTTACATTCAAAACTGTTAAGCATTCAATGAACTCAAAAGTATCGCGAAGGGAGTGTTTGCATAGTGTTGTCTTACCGGCTCCAACATTTCGGACAACAATTTGACGATTGGATGGTATGGTGACCCTGACATGTCGAGAATTGGTCGAAGTGGCAAGCCAGGTTTGTGCATCTTTGGTAAGCCGTAGAGTCGGGAATGGTTGATCCTGTTGGTTTCAGGCGATCAAACAGGTCCTCAGATATCAGACCGTCGTTCTTCATTCTTCTGAGAACATCTGTTAGTTGTTTTTCAATCAGCTCTGTCTTGTTTTTCTCGTTATTGCGCTACGCGTATTTCTTGTCATCTGATATGTGTTGTCAATTTGTTCATATATACATATCTGTCCATTAGGACCACTCCTGAACCTTTGTCAGGAAGTGTTATTACTAAATCTTTATTGTCTCTCAGTTCTTTGAGTTGTTGTCTATGTTCTTTTGTCAGTAGACGTCGGGCTTGAGTTTTTAAGCTGAGATTACAGTTGATTACAGCAATCGAAGATTGTTGACTAAAAGTATAGGAATTCTTCGTCGGAAACTGGAGTAATATTGCTCATGAGTTTGGCTTATGAGATTCTCGAATTGAATGTGTTAGAGAACATTACCTAGCGTGGCTACAAACAGTAGGCATCGGTTTAATCAGAAATGCCATTATTGAACATCTGATCAACACCTCCCACAACATGTCAACTGATTTTTTTCAAAGTAATTTACAAATTCAACAGAAATAAACTTATGATTGCACTTTGTAAGATAGTTGAGACAAAGGTTGAATTCAGTAACAAACCAGTCGTTTCAACTTCTCAAAAAATATCATTTATGCTAAGGATTAGGGTATTTACCCTTTTTCTTTTTTTGTCTTTTAAGAACACTTTAAACGCACTACAATGGATATAAATAAAATTGTATACTCTCATTTGTCAGCTTTGTGCACTGACGAACAGCTTATATATGCTACACTATCTATGTTGTATTTGTTTAATAAGCAGAGAAAACAAAATCACAAGTACACTTGGTTAACTTCCATCAAAATCTTGTATTCTGATATTTTTAATCGACTAAGTAATTAATAAAAGTCACACCTCAATGTGACTACTCAAGCTGTAACCAAATATAGAATTATCAACTCTCTGATAAAAGATCTTTTCATGAATAGGTTCGAAAATAACATCTTTTCAAGCATATTCACTCCTAAAATATGGTTAAGGTATTTAGATGATACTTTTGTAGTACTTAAACAAGATCTACACAATTCATTCCTGGAGAAAATTAACTATGTATCTCCCAGAATTCAGTTTACTTGGCAGAATCAGACGTCGGTGAACTATCATTTCTAGACTGCCTAGTTAAGAGGAGGGAAAACGGACATTTTAGTATATCTATATTCAGGAAGAAAACCCACTACAATAAATATTTAGACTTCAAATCATAACACTCCATCAGTGCAAAGATTTCAGTTGTTTCAAGTCTTCTTAGACGAGCACACTCTCTGATAACGGATGAGCAAGAAAAGAAGAAGAAATATCAAACATTACTGAAACCCTCAAGCAAAACAACTACCCAAGGAACTTCATCAACTAAATCAACACAGAAATTAAGTATGGCCGAAAACGCATTCCAAAAAAATGAACTCAACAGTCGTCATTCCATATAGAGCAGAGATATCAGACAACATCAGAAGAGTACTCAATCAGCTCGACATTACAGTTTTTTTAAAACATCAGACAAACTTCAAAGCAACCTTGTCCATATAAAAGACCGAATCCCTAAAAATTCTTTATCCAATTGTGTCTACAGAATAAAATGCTTGGAATGTGATGCGATATATATCGGATAAATATCTCGAGAAATCGAAATCAGAATAAATGAATACTGTAGAGCATCTGTTCGACCATCGAGAAACCCGGTTGAACTAGAAAAGCTTGAAAAATCATCAGCCATAGCTTGCCTACACGCTATAGAATAAGGCGACAAAATTGATTTTGACAATATTCAGAAATCAAAGAGAACGTCTAATATCAGAGCACTTCATATCAAGTTGAATCTAAATTTCCTGAATAGGAATGATGGACTAAAACAGAATCTGACATGGTTACAACACCTCCCTCCCCTCTCCAACGAAGTGACAAAATCAGCACGTATATGATGAGCAAGTTCACTATGCAAACACACACTACTTTTATAATGTCACACAACGATCAAATCCAACAATCTACACTTGGTTTTGTTATCTCTACCAGTTGACCAACTTGACAACGAAAAATGACCCCAGACTGACGAACGATGATCAAGTTAGTAAACTTTGTTTTGATATCATAACAGGTGTACTATTACCTTTGTTATTTGGTTTAGTGATCTTCATTGTTATTTTGACTTTCAATATGTCCTTTTAAGTTGACTTAAGTCTATTTTTCTCACCCCTAACTCTTTGTTATATATATGCTGAGATTTTGTAAATTCCAGTTTAATAATACTTTGAGAAAGCTATTAGCATTAAATAGCGAAACGTCAGTAAAAACAATATCGTTTTGTTTTTCATTCATTGGGAAATACAAAAACCTTTATTATAATAAATATCATATACCCAATGCCCAATTTTTTTCAAAATGTTAAAAGTGAGCTTGGTTTGGACATATATGAGATAATAAAAGGTTATTTTTAGTACACTGAGTGGCGCATCTCTTGTGCGTTTAAATAATTACTGAAATAATAACACCAATCTTAGCCTACAAAAGATGCATATTTAATACATGAAAAAGCGGTTACAGTGAATACCGTAATATAAGCATGAAGTTTCGGTGAATTATACTTCCAAAGGCTTGGTATTAACTGAGTTTTAGCAGCAATTCAACTTACCAAACTCTATATTGTGCATAAAAAAGGAGAGAGGAAACAGATTCAAAAGAAGTGTGACGAGTAGAAGCTTACAGGAAGAAGGAAGAGTAACATGAAAAGACATGGGGATTTGATGGATCTGAGAGATTGCAAAAAGTGAATGCATCTGCGCCACTCATTGAGAACGATTTCGAACCATAAAAACAAGTCAACAAAAAAAAAACATTGGATTTTTGGCACTCTGAGGAACCCAACCATGCAGTTTGCACCTCCCTACGTGGCTGATACAAACCAATTGTCAAGCACTTCAAGAAGTGATAGCAGGTTTTGATTTGACAAACCCCAATGGCTTAATGGTATACCAGCTCGCCTTGTAACCAGAAGGCCTTGGGTTCGAATCCCCATGGGTGCGTACTGATGAAGAGTCCCAAACTAGGACGAAGCGGCTGTTCAGTACTCCCAGGTTTTCTAACTAATTTCAGCTCATGATGAAATCCTGAAACCCCTAAGTATTTCCCTAATTAAATCCTATGTCAGCTAACATTGCTCCACAAGGACGACAGTGCTTCGCATGTGTAATGGGTGTCCTAGCCATCTCAACCAAAGACTTGATAACCAAAAGACCTATTTACTACATTGTTTAATAGAGATTCTACACATTTTTCAAATAACATCAAAAATTTAAGGAAAAACAATCAAATGAACTGGTACCTTTTGCCGTCTGCTAACTTTTGGTGCATCTTTATGGAAAACTTCTTGGCTAAAATTTAAAAAATAATAATAAAGGCATTAGTATTGTATAAGCATAAATGTTTTTTAAAAGATTCGTAAACAAATGATTCCCACTGAGGCTTCATGAAGACTACAAGCGATGAAACACAGAGTAATATAATTGCATACAACTTTAAGTCGCCACACTTCAGAACGACATAGCAATAGAATAAAACAGAGGATATAGAAAACGAATATAAAAGGCACGAGACAATACGTGGAATGGAAACGTTTGGCAATTTTAATACCAATAGTCAAAACACGATGAAAAGCAAATGTTATTTACTGCTGATTATTAACATCTTTCATATTCCTTTCTACCATTACCCATTCTGCTTCACTCGTATACTTGTCAAACTCTATTGATTCTCTTCATTCATCTTCTTGTCTACTTTTGTGTGCTATTTGGAACGTGGCAACTCGAACTGCTGCTGCCAAGTTCTATGTTGAATCCAACAGACAGACTGACATTATTAACTATATTCATGTATCTAATCTTCAATCACCAACTGCGCTGTAACACAAATACCAGTACTTTTTAATAGTCTATATTAGATTATGAAAACACGCCAACTGACACTGAATATTCGTAAATAGAGGCTAAGCATGATCGAAGTCAACAGTCCGCATCTAAACACGTTCAAGTGCTTCTTTGAACATGGATAAACAGATATTTACCTTGAGTTCTAATCTTGTTGACCAGGATACAACTAGTGCAATGTCTCAATTATTGGGGCTCTATCTTCACAATGTATATTGAGCTAATAGTTACTGATAGTAATTTTTCCTTGGGAAGTGGAACTGTAGTTTGTTGACGCAAGCACTTGAATTTCAAGGGTTTTAAATCCCTCAGCCCATCAAGGTCTGGCAAACAAGTAACACACCAGTCAAATCATTGGCTTTGAATCAAATAAGGTGCTTTCATTTATCGTCAGCTATTAATAGGCTTATCTCTGTCCCGTACTGTAGCCTACTTGGGACTTCTCAGTTTGACTTTAGTACTGAATATTCGTGTCAAGTAATTCGGTGTATAGCGACTGGGAGTAGAATTCAGGACGCGAGTTTCGTCCTATTCAGGACTTATTGACCGTATGCACCAGCATCTCCCAGATGCCGAGTCTCACATAGGACGAAATGTGTATGCTGGATCCTCCCCTCACTGCTATTTACCATTCACAAGATTAAATCCATTCACAAGTTAAATCCTCAGGCATGGTCTAAGCGTCTGTAGTAGGAGCCGACACGCCAACAGAGGTCAAACATTTCGGTCCACTCAGCGGGAAAACAAAAATTGAGTGAAGGATAACTTGTGGTGAGAAATTAAACATTCTGATAATTTGTTCATGGATAAAGAAAATTCAAATATAATGATACTGACTTTAAAACAATAGATACTCAAGTGCAGGACGGCAAAACTGGTATTTATAGATTGATGGTAGCCACACTTAATGAAACCAACTAAAACAGTACAATAACTTAGGACACAGCATATTCTACGTGTATAAGATACAGTCATACCAATACTTCTTGACGAAACAAAACGAGGTTAGTAGGACGACATAACAATGATTGAAAATGAGTGCAGGAAAGGAATAATTATGTGGTTGGGTAAAAACACTTGAATTTCCAAGGAAGACCGAGAATGAATATATGCCCCTACCGTGAATGGATCTATTTGACGCTAATACCAGTCTGCACTAGGTAATAACAACAACCCCACAAAGAATACCTGTACTGCAATGTTATCCAATGGATTCATTAGTTAATTTCTATCCCAGACAGTATTCTACAGCCGAATCTAAGACTGCCTCACCATATGAAAACAAAACTGATCTAGGTCTTTCTGTTTACCTTATGAAGATAAAAAATAGCGAACACACCGTATACTAATTACTCCTATAAATTTATAGAAGTGATTAATCTTGTTAATGAGATACACCTGACAAATTCGTTGGTGAATGCAAATAATGCCAACTACATACATCAAAACGGAAGTATCCTTCTATAATTTTAGAACTGTTGAGTAAAGCTATAACCCTTGATCTGAATGATGTGCACGAAGAAGATACATTAACTTTCAAAGCAACAAAATTTAAAATTTCCCTAATGCTTATAGGTTTAACGCTGAAACATTTTACTGAAATACACTGAGGGTATGAGAAGCAACACAAAGGGGCTATGATTTAGAATTCGAGCTTCAGAATTTCCAAATAAATTGACACTAAATTTTCTAAAAACGAACATTAGATTTTACAAGCACATATTCAATCGGTCTTTCCAAACACTAGTATCCACAAATTTAAGTGCTATTTCTGCCATGTTGGCAAAGAATAAAGTCATTATAACATATCCTTATTTGGCTTTGTCAACGCACTGAATATTGCTCTAAATCCTAGAACAAACACACCTTGTGCCATTTTCTGACTCTGAACTGGAGGCCATTGGTTCGTCGGTAGGTGGTGATACCTATAAACCTTGTTCAAACACCATACGCTACTCACGTGAAAGGTAGCGCAACGGCTGAATGTACCTCTATGCGTCCAATAGTTAGTGAAAACCAAACTTATTTCTTTGTGCTCACTTCCTAGTTCTAAGGTAAACAGGTGAAGTTAAAGAAACATAGCCAAAGTCAACGTTCGCCAAAAGCTGACCTTCAAGAGCCATCAGCGAGGTGAGCCATTAGCGAACGCTATGAGAGATAACTTCCAATCAAACAATGCCTCCCCTTTATGGATTTGGCAAAAGAACATACAGTATTCTAATTACTCCCCAGTGCTTTTTCTAAAAATTTGTACTGTTAGGTAGGGTCGCGGTTTTTAAGATAAAGGTCTAGGCTTAAGTTTAGGACTACGGTTAAATTTAGGATTATGGTTAGGGTTAGGAGTAGGTCAGAGAACAGTGTCGGAAATGTCAATAAAGTACAATAGCCTAAAATCACCCCCAATGAATGCACGTATTGGACATGGTATGATTTCCCTATAGATCATCTGCGTAGTAACTGAGAGACATTCTTACAACATATTCACGACAATTGTATGGTTTAATTTCATGTTTGCGGTGGATTTTGGTACATTTTTCAGCGATTATACGACCTTTTTATCTGAATCCTGACAGACTGTGATGATAGTTTGACTCAGCTGGCAAAAACTCCTGATCTCCATATGGAGTATGTCTCACTATTGAGCGGTGTTGGGATTGGTTATATACGATTTCCAACATGCGGCGTGCTCAGACTGTCGCTGCTGCAAATAGAGTTGATCCTTTCACTCGTTAATTGTCCGATAAGGTCAAAAAAAGAAATTGCAACGAGTGATCCAGCAAAGATATTTGTTCGTGTTTTTCTGTTTGTAGATTTAAATTCGCATACAAATCCTAGTTCTCACTATCATTAGTGACAACAGAGTCTAGGTCGTGCTATAGTTAAAACACAGGTGACTTTATTTGTTTTCGAAATACGGAAATGATGGAGGTTTGTCAACGTATATGAAAACCTTACACCCTACCTTGTGATTACCATCTCTCCCGCTCAGAACGATATCGTTTACACTGAATTCCTTGTCGGCCAGGCTTCTGTGATAGTATTTTGAGCTCCAGGTGTGGTTAAAAAATGATGATTCGCTTTATTCCAAAGTAGTACCTACGATACATTGTGAAGTTCTTAGCATTTGGTACAGTACTGTATCTGATTTACTGAACAACAAAAACGCTATATAGAGAGTGGGTAACCGAAATCGGTGATAACAGCTTCTTGGCATTAGCAGTAAAAATAACGTTGAAAATGTGTAGAGAGTATAAAGTGATAATAGTATTAGTAGCTAAATTTACAGGAGAATTGAAATGTTTCCGCTTTAAATAACAAGAAGATAGAAGGGCCGTTTATTTTGTTAATTACATAGCAAGGTATAGGTAAAATTTTTAACACTTTCTTTATCATGCGAAGCTAAAGGGGTGTAATTGAGTTTTTGCACTCAGATGTGCGAGCATATAATATTTTCATCTGGATAAGTCTATTTTAATAACTGGATGATGTCTCGAGCACAAATTATTGCTTCTTATCAAAAGTTTAGTCATGATGCTTCGTGATTTCCTCTACATGTGTATTTATCTTCCCTTTGTTATTTGCCGCCATTCACATATCCCCGGTATAGGCTGTGCGTCACCTCGACTACACGTGTGATGGGTTGAATCTATAAACAAAGAGTCGGTGACTGAACTCTCTGTCCATCTAACAATACTCTCTCACCCTGTCCCACACTATTGTGTGAGTGCATACCAAGCGAATGCATTGCAGTGCATTTTTCAGGTTATCCAACTTAGCAGGGTCAGTCGTTCTAGATCTGACCAAATTCGTATGTCTCAATAAAATAATTTGCCCCGATCTACTAGTCTGATCTATGTAACTGAATTGACACCACAGTCATTACATGGCATTGTAGCGGCAAATAATTCCTCAAAATTATTGACCATAAGAATCATCGGTGAATATTGGATGCTGACCCTTAGATTTTAAGTCGACTTGTTTAGCTGAAGACTTTCTGTCAAGCATCCCTGCCATTTGGTACTCCGTAGTGTCACTGTCGTGCACGATAACTAGCTAGCTTAGCTTCCGCTTCAATCCGCGATTTGGTTCCAAAATATATATCGTAATTTGGACAACGGATTGTAGTCTTTTGCTTCGCCTTAGCCACGCGACATTCAAATACGTTAGAAGTTGTTGGTGCAAGATCTTGAGTTAATATACTCAGTACTGTTCGCGAACGTCTATACCGTCAACCTTTAAAGCATCTAGTATATGATATCACTTTCCTTATTTGCAACTATCGGGTCCTTAAGCCAAAAAAGTTAATTTCTGGGGTAGTTGGTCGATTTGTTTAAATGTTCCCCCAATTCCAGCATAACTGAGAATACTACGTCAGGCCACTGACGTTACTTCCTTATACGAAAGTACTGCTGAATGTTTGACTTCTGTAATATTTGTGTTATTTTTACCATTTTCATTACTAATCTCGTTTTTTCAGTGGTTCTTCATACATTTCTGAATAAATTTGGTGGGTAATTATTCACCATTAATATTTCTTTACGTGCTTTACTTCACTGTTTAAATCCTCTTGTCAATGGAGTTGAAGATTGAACGATCAATTCATTGTTGTTTGCTCAAAACCAACTTCCCCAATTTTCGCGGAGGCATCAATACGACAGTCATCGTCTCATCGGTCGCTGTTCAGAAAGAAGAGTGAAACATCGTCAGAAGTAATACTATGATTTATTATAGTAATATTTGTTCACAGACCTTAGTTCAGTTATTATTTTTATATGTTGGTGTAACAATAAAGAATTCTCGAGTGGCCAATCGGTGTTTTGGTTTTTTCGTCCGTTATTACTAAGCGTTTCTGAAAACTTCAAGGAACAGCGTGGGCCCGAGCGTAGCAAGAGCTGGGCATTAACGGTTTATGAGACGTGACTGACAGTTTCTGATGGTAGAAACAGATCTGGCGGATTCAAACAGTTGGTGAAAGTTTGGATAGTCACCGTTCATCTTTCCTGGTGCCGGTCAAGTCCTCTTTGAAAAAGCAATATCTGGAACGTTTTTGGAATTGGGTCAAGTTCAACAATGCCTGGGTCAAAGAAGGGACACAGCGTCTTGGATGCAAACAGGAAAGTAAGTCATGGTGACTTGTCTGTTACTTGTAACGATGTGTCTGATGTTAAGCATGACATGGTTGATGTTACTGTTTCGCCGTTCAGGGATAATAGGAACATCAAACTCCCTAAATTTGAACCACGGTGTTTTGATGGAAACCCGGCTGATTATTTACAATTTGTAAAGGAGTTTGAGATCATGTTGAGTAGTTTTTTATTAAGTGATGAATTGAAGTTAATGTATTTGATGAGATATTGCACTGGAGATGCTGCAAGAGCTATACAGTGTTGTAAGTTTATGAAGCCAAAAGAGGGCTACGATGAGGCTATGAGCATATTACGTCAAAGGTTTGGAAGACCTTCAATGATTGTAAGGAACGTATACGAAGCTGTAAAAGGTAACGGAAGTCAGCTTCAAGATGACTCCAAGGCACTTACTGAGTTTTTAGATAATCTTATGACTTATAAGAATACCTTGATTTCTATGAATTGCATGAGTGACCTCAACTCGAGTTTTATACTAGAAGTAATAGCAAGACGCCTACCTACTCGACTGCAAAGGAAGTGGGTGAAGATAAGCTCCCGTATGGAGGATGAGGGTATCGAGCCAAAATTTGATGATATCCTGAAACTAGTAAAAGATAGTGTCAATCAATCTATGAGCAAGTTTGCCAGTATATTGAATCTCACCCCTAGAATAGAGCAGTCTGAGGGTAAAACGCAATCATTGATGACGAATAGGCCTCAGAGAGGTGGATATCGAGAAGGCTCCATGATGTCCAGTAATGCATATAGACCTAGTGAGTGTAACAGGTTTCGTAGTACATCCTCAACAGATGAGTTACAAGATGCAAGACAAGCACGGTTGTGTTTTACACGTTTGCAAGAGGTGCATACAAAGGTGAACTGTGAACCAGTGAGCAAGTTCAGTGATAAGCTAAATGTAAACTCCAGGCCTGACTCCGAATTGTGTGACGATAACGGTGTGGTCAAGAAGTCTGTAGTTGCAACTGGTAAGCCATTGTTGAATAGAGTGTCACAGAATAGAGTTACTGCTTCAGAGTGCAGTTCTGACTCCACAAGTTTACAAGGTATTACTAGTCAGAGTGAAGGTATAAAACCTTTAATGATTTGTGAGGAGGAGCCAAAATTGTCTACTTCTGTTATTAAAGAGTTTGAAAATGATGAAGTCGAATGACGGTAAATTGAATATTTGTGATAATGATCATGATAGTGCAGATTTGTCTTTGGTTGATCATGATGAAATGGAGGGAATGCCTACTACCGCTAAGTTAAATAAAGGTTCTGTACAACTTGAACGTGAAGTAGAAATAAATGCAGATGCAGTTGCAGAAGGCATGCGTACTTGTGAGACCGTCAGTGTGATTGATCAGCATGTAGCCCACCTATCATCAGATGCTAGTGCTAAACCTGAGCTGATAGTAAAAGACAGCAGTGGTGGTGGTCTTGCAGGTAGACAAACTTCTGAAAGCCGAGCAACAACAGCTTTTGATCCACCGCTAACTTCATCAACTGATATCAATCAGTCGTCGTTGGTGCTGTCATCCACAATGAAACAGACGCCCATCAACTCAAGTATCTTGTCCAATGACTATGGTAGTATCAGTTCGTTTGAAAGGACGAATATCAATGGTCAGTTTAGTGAGGATAAGCCAAGTGTAAACGAGAGAGTAATTGTTAAATTGACTTGCACGAATAAAGGCATTTCTAGTTTCAAGTTACTATTTGAATGCTATTATCTTTGGTGTAAATTACTCTGTTTCTACACTTGGTTGACCAGATACGTCGTGTGTTTGTTCGTCATCTATATTCTACGATACAATGACATGAGCGAGTTGCCGTTCAGATTTGAAGATATAGCTGATAGAAG